GTGTGTGTGTGTGTGTGTGTGTGTGTGTGTGTGTGTGTGTGTGTGTGCGCGCGTGCGCACGCGTGTGCGTATACTATGGGTGTCCTAGACCAGCCTAGACGCCACAGCTGGAACTAATCTCTTCTCTGCCAACAATGCACACTGTAAAGTATGCCTTTAATTTGCCCTCCTGGTGGGGTGTGTGTGTGGACATTCACCAGCCCACCGAACCACGTCGGTGCCAAGGCGTCCTGGTAGCATGTAGCTCCAGCTGTTGGCTTTGTTGAACAAGTCAACTCAATTTCAAACACCGTCCTACCTGTCAAACGGCTTGACAGGAAATTATTTTCGCCGTTCAGCCTGATAAACAAACGCCGTCAGCGAAGTAGAAAAGATATCCAGAGCCCTGAAAGCGTGCAGTACAACACTGCCTCCTTTTTTTTTTTTTTTGTCCATTAATCAGTCATCCGTGCTGACAGTGGGACATGTTACAAACACCTGTCGAGAGCAGCTGGAGGCTCTGATCACTCACATCTGTTGAATCCACTTCACTCGTGAAGGGAGTATGAAGATAAAGGGGTCGGGCAGGGAAAAGAGATCGTCTTTTCAGACAACAGAAACCTCAATGTGTAACTCCATTGTATGAGTCCTCATACATAAACAATAAACTAGATTATTTGTTTCTTCTGAAACAATACACGTGACTGTCCAGGAATGACTAGTATAAGTGTTTTCTGATCTGTTCCCTCTGCAGTCAAGCTCTGCTTAAATTGAGGCTTGAAATAATTTCTTGCTGAGAGTTTGATGAGAAGATCGATACGTCTTCCATGACTGTATGCTAAATGCAGTGGGAAACAGCTAGCCTGGCTCTGTCCAAAGGGAATAAAAATAACTGCCTACCGACGCCTCTAAAGCTCATTTAATTAACATGTTGTATCTAATCTCATGCTCCCAGCATGCTCCCAGCCTTTATGCTAAGCTAAGCTATCTGTCTCCAGTCTCCAGCTTCATATTTAGCATAAAGGCATGAGCATACAACTAATCATGTTTTCCCAAAATGTCAAACTCTTCCTTTAAGGTTTGAGGGAAAAATCCGATACAGCTAAAAGAACCCAATATAGCATCGTTAGCTTGAAAACAGCAAGCCATGACGTAGCGACACCGTTGCTTCATCATTTCAGACCTCTTAAATGTATTTGTAGTCAACATGGTGTCATGTGAGAGCCCCACGCGAGAAAGTCCGAGGTAAATTAAGAATGTAAAACTCTGATTAGCAACTTCTGTCGGCTAAATGCTGCTCAGAATATTTGTTTGTCTGTTTACACATAATAGAGAACATTTATGAACAGCTACTGACAGAAAAAAGGCAGAAATTGAGGTTGAGATGAGACTTCAGAGCTTCAGTTGTAGATGCAACGCAGTCAGCTTTGCTATATTTAACATTTGCATGCATTATGTAATAGCTAGGCTCTGTTTCTATTTATAAACTTGGCACACATCTTGTCTCAGGATGGTTGTGGTTGCTGCTTGCCCTAGAATTACCAGCTGATGGCTGATATGGAGTACTGATAGCTTTAACAGAGGAAACACACCTCACTGTTGTCCTGTTGTTAAAATCACATGCTGCCCAACACAGCACATAGTAGTGGATCCGTCTCACACTAAACAGTGGTATTGTTTGCATCAACAGTTACTGTTTGTTACCAGATCATTGCTAATAGAATGAACTACAGTAGAGTATCAGGATAAAGTATTAAGAATTGTATTACTAATTTGCCATTGCATATATTATACAGGAAGATCACAGTGGCTAAACATGGAGTTTATCCTTCTTATACACTCTGATTGGTATAATAACAACAATGGATCTAATGATAGTAAAATTAAGTAATTCCTCTTGACTTCAGCACTTAAGGGCCCCTGTGGGTTTGATTGGGGTTTGTTGCCACAGCGCTGTTGTTGTTTGTAGCTCTTGGCTCTGTGTGTCTACAAATACTTTCTATGTCTCTTTCTACGTGTACGAAACATTGCTTCTACATAGATACTTTAGAAAAACCCACATGATGAGTGTGACAAATGCGAAGGCAAAGATGTAATCAATGGCTGACTTTTAGGGGGGATTTTTTTATGCTAAACCAGATTCCTCACTAACCAAGCCCTGAAGTGTCCTCTTGGGATTATTTTAGTAAAACTTAATTAATGAATATCTGCTTTTATATTCACGGTTTTGGCTGAATATATAGAAGTAATTGAACTTGCTAAATGATGAGTGGCGAGTCGTGAACCAGGCGTCTCTCATCCACCAATAAATGCCGGTGAAATCGCCTCCCTCTTAATGCCTCGGCAGTAAACCTCGTTAAGAGGCGGGGCTCGTTAGGCTGCATTCGTCACTAACGAGCAACGCTCAGTTGCCATAGGAGACGGGAGATTGGATAGGCGAGCATGTGTTACGCTGTGATTGGCTGCCAGACGGTTCCATTAGCACCATATACGGACGCCAGTGCCAAAGAGCCACGGGGGATTGATGGGTCCGGGGTTGTGTGTAGGTGTGTGTGTGCGTCTGCTTGTCAAACTGATGGGCCCGGTAGTGTCGTCTGTGTGAACTATGAGGCTCACACTGAGGAAAAGGGAAAGCAGAGCTGCTCATAAAAATTTCAAGCGATCCCACCTACCAGGCTCTGTGACAGCAGGACAGATTTATACAGAGAGAGAGAGAGAGAGAGAGAGAGAGAGAGAGAGAGAGAGAGAGAGAGAGAGAGAGAGAGAGACCTGGAAATAGAAGGTGAGAAAGCAGTAGAGAGAGGGTGAAGGGGTGAGAGGGATGGAGATGGTGAAGAGGGGTACAGAGGGAGGAGGAAGGAATAGCTGAGAGAGCTTCAGTAGCAAAGATATAATCAACAGAGAAGAACAGAGAGACATTTCTCTAGGTTGTGGTCTCTGTCCTCCTCACCAGTCCCTCATCACAACATGAACATCAATGGATGAGCAGCAGAAAGCCCTCACAAGGATCTCATCTGTGTGCAGACTTTACTTTGCCTTCTGTCAGGAGGATGAGGTCATATAACAGACTTTTCCCCAATACATAATAATAATTGTGTATGTGCCTGTTTGATGTGGAAAGTAACTACGTATATTTACTTAAGGGCAGAGCTGAAGCAAGATTTTACTGAAGTTGTACTTTAATTGAGTATGTTCATGTTGTTCTGAGCGCCAGTGTCTTTTTTCCAGTTGTTCCCAATGAAGAGGGATCGTATCGCGATGTTATATCTTATGAGATCATCATGTAATGATGCCGCTGATACATTCACTCAGCATTATTTTAACACTGCTACTTTATAAGAAGGACTTATTACTCGTGCTTATTTTGATAATGGGTGTAAATGAGATTTTGACCATAATCTCTGTGTCTTTTCTCCTCTCAGCTTGAGACCAAATCAGGAAAAGCAGCTTCTCTGTCCGTCACTGATGCACTGGAGCCTGCGGACCTGAAGGTGGCGCTGAAGAGGGAGTGTGAAGAACACCAGCACCTCCTGGCCGATTCCTACGCAGCCGTGATGGACCTAACTAAACAGGTAAGTGTCTGTCTGAACGCACCCAGTTGGGTTGGAAGGAAACAAGCAACATCTGTGACTTTGTTTACACGGACAGAGCAAACTGTGTTGGGAGATTTTCTCACAAAGAGATAAATCTCTCCAGCTCAATTTCCGGTTGTAAAAACGTATTATTCAATTTGTGTGACGGCTCAAGAGTTGTGTTTTACTTAACATCGATCTAGTGTTAAAATTCATATTCCGGCGGTGTGCACTCCTCATCCATCCTCTTCCTCTGATGTTTTTCCTTCTTCTACTCGTCTCTCCGCTGTGACCCACCTGCGGACCAATCAGCTTCAGATCGGGGAGAGGAACTGGGGCAGAGAGAAGCTGGAGCTGCTGGAGAGGTTCAGCCAGGAAAGAGCTCAGTGGGAGCAGAGACTGGGAGAGGCCACTGCACAACAGGGCAAGGTATGACTGTGTGTGTGTGCGTGTGTGTGTGTGTGTGTGTGTGTGTGAGTGAGAGAGAGGGAGAAATGTCAAAGATGAAGAAGAGAGAAGGAGTGAGCATATCTTGGGTGATGGAATCTGAGAGGATGAGGGTGTCTGAGATAAGAAGGACCTCAAAAGGGTATCGAGTCATTGGATCAGATGTGTGTGTTTTTGGTACACTTTTTTTTGATTACGTCCAATCACATCTGATGATTTCTCTGAAATAGTATTAACATTTTACAAAAGCCATAGCTAGTGCAATAAGGCTGCTTTTAGACTGCCTTTAGCATTTCACCAAAAAAACTAAAATGATATAGAAAAAAATGTGTCAACTTTACAACTCAGTCAAATTTAGTTTTTCACGAACACTTTTCATGTGCCACTATCGCCTATTGTCAGTTTACTTCAAACCAACTTCACATCCATCTGGGCCTCCTTCCTTTATATACAGTACCAGACATATCATGCAGTAAGTTAAAGTCAAACGCAACACTAGAAATGTCAAAATAGAACAAGAATGCAAGTTACTGTTGTCTATAGGGTGATATTTCTCCTCTTGGGATACTTTGCTGATGCTGACAAGTAACCGCAGCTGTTGATGACCTAATGTGAGTCAGGAGGAGGAGCCTCTCTGGTGTAATTGCCTTACTTTTTCAGTCTGATCTGCTGATTATACATCAGAGCAGTCACTGCCAAGCTGCTGCAACATGTCTGGGAGGGATCAGTGTTTTAAAGTGGTAGTTAGTTTTTTTCCCCATAAATACACAAAGAAATTAAGATGTCTCTGTCTGCTGTGTCTCCGGTTCTCAGTCTGAGGGTGTCTTTGTCTTCCCTTTCCTTTCTGTTCATTCCTTTCACTCCTCTTCTCGTCTCTTCTCCTCTCCTTTTCCTTCATCCTGTCTGCTGCGTGTGATCCCTTCTCACTCCTTCCATTAAGTGGCCGTGCGCTACTTTGGAAACTTGGCAGCAGTCCGCAGCTCGTCATCCTTTAATCTACTCTGTCTCAGTCTCTCAGAGTGTGTCTGTGTCACGCTCTGTCACCCACAAATCACATCTACTGTCTACTCTACTGGTGTTGTGCTGTTGGGCCTTCCAGAGACTTCTGACTTTTGATTACAGTGCCTCCATCAGGCCAGTCAGTGTAAAAGTAGCTGGATTTTAGTGTCATTTGAGCTTCTCGGAGTTGCTGTACAAATCTGATGTTTACTGTTTCCAGTTGAAATGGTATGTTGGGGTGGATTAAGCTAGTTTGGTTAAGGTTGAAGTGGCAGTCCCCCTGGCAATTGCAGAAGTACCCCATTGGGCCCAAGTAAGCCTGTTAAGGAATGTAGTCTAAAAACTAGTCTATATTTAGCGATCTGTCAGTGTACTGTACACACCCGTGCAGCGTGGTCTGCAGTTCAGTGAGTTGCAGGCGAAAGTGTATCTGCACAACTAAGCACATTATCTGCAGATGTCCTTTTCCCCTCTCCCCACTCTGTCTCTCTCCTCTGAAGTGTGACATGATCTGACTCAGCATCACCGTGTGTGTGTGTGTGTGTGTGTGTGTGTGTGTGTGTGTGTTTGCATGCTGTCTGCCACAGATAGATTTTACTTGTCAGTCTCCACTTCCTTCTGCCAAAACAGCTCTAGAGGAAGTGGACGGCAACGAGATGAATGTGTCTACAGTGGATGTCTGCCAGGGTGTGAAAAAAAAAAAGGAAAATGCCAAAAGAACAATTTGCTCAAATGATGCAATCTTTCAAAAATGCTAATAAGATGTAAAAAAAAAAAAATAGTTGTGTGGTTTCACTGACAGGTGTGTGTTTGTCCTCACAGTCAAAGTCATTCGGCAGCGAGTCCTCTGCAGACACAGTCGTCATGAATGGAACAGGATCTTCAAGGTAACAATTTAAACACGTTATCTCACAGTTTTAAATCAATCAGTAACATGTGGAAGAAATCAGAACATTTTCTAATCAACCTTTGTTTGATTATAGGGCTGTGTCATCAATGCTTTTTATCAGCAAAATGTTGAAAACGGCTTCATGAACGAGTGTGAATTTGTCGTCTCGATGAGCAGAGCATAACTTTGCTTCTCTTTTCTCATCCACTCCGTCCTCCTCCTCCAATCAAAAGAACCAAGTCCACTTCAGCGCTGGACGGCCCAGAAGTCAACGGTGGAGCCAATCAGGAGGAGAGAATTCAGTTTGCTGTCCCAGAGCTGGGTGACCTCACCAGGAAGAACTGGACCTACCTAACCAACGAGGTGAACAAGTTGTGATTTTACACATTTATTGGTTTAAGATGTGCAGTTTGTTGGGATTTCTTTGCTTTGATATGTTTGACAAGACTAGTGAAACAAAGACTGGTTGTACTTGTAAAAGTTATACGATTTGTACAACAATTGTCATAATATCTGTGCTCTCCTCAAGCTGAAGACAGCATAGTAAAAATGTATACTGATCACTATTTTATTAAATTTTTTTTGTCCCCACTCTCATCCCAGACCCCAGAGGTTGGGGACACCTGTAAAACCTGGGACGGTCCCAGCGGCTCTTGCAGCAGCTTAGTGGGATCAGAGCTGGATCTGGAGACCGTCCAGAGGAGCTACACTGCTCCAGACCGCACCGGCATCCGGATCTACTACAGCCCTCCTGCTGTAAGACGCATGGAGCACCGCAGAAGGAGCCAGGAGGCCAAAGAGCCACAGCAGGCCCAGAACGGGAGCTCTTCCCTGGGAGTGAGTGGCTCCGACGCAGGCGTGGCTGCGGTGGGAACCCTTGAGGTTCAGCAGCAACAACCTCCTTCCTCCTTTTCGTCCTCGTACGAGCAGTGGCTGAGCTCACTGTCCAAGCAGCACAGGGAGCTGCTGGAGAGCAGAAGCGGCTGCATCGCCGGTTCGATCCCCAGTGTCGCCAGCAACGGCGTCGGCGGCTCGGTTGATGGGATGACGCCCTCGTCGGCTTTCCACGGCCTGGAGATCGGGGAGATTTCCGCCAACTTGAGTGATGACATGAAGGAGATGACCAACTGTGTCCGCCAGGCCATACGCTCTTCCTCTCTGGAGAGGAAATCCTCCAAGGAACCTGGGAGTCAGGTACTTTCTTTTTAATAATGAAAAGACCTTATAGTCCAACTATTTTCATAGGTTTGAGGGAAAGCGTCTTTTTCAGAATCATCTCTCTTCTGTGGCTGTTTCGATTACTCTTCATTGTTTTCTCTCAACATGCTAAATGTTCTCCATCATTTCCTTTTCTCCCCCCAGGGCATGTCCACCAGGTCCACGCAGACCACTGCGCAATATGTCAGCATCGGGCTTCAAACCGACAACCCTTCCACCAGCAGAGGGTTCCACCATAAAGCCTGGTCTCCTCGCCCCTCGTCAACAACCACATCCTCGCTGGTGTCCGCTCGAACCCGGCAGATATCCTCATCCCTGGATAAAGTTCACAGCCGCACCGATAGGCCATGCTGTTCACCCAAGTATGGCTCACCCAAACTACAGCGCAGAGTGTCTTCTGGTAATTAGAGTTTGTTCTCCGGCCTCTAACATCCACTGTAAACACTATTGCTTGGGAGAAGGTGACACCCGACTGCTCTGTTTTTAGGCTCCATCTCCAGACTGGACGGCAGTTCCTCTTCCAGGGACCGGAGCCTGTGGAGCCTCCAGCAAAGATCCATTGGTGGAGGAGGAGGCTCGGCGTGGGCTCGCTCCACCACCACCAGGGACAGCCCCGTCCTGAACGGCCTCACCGACGGCCTCTCCAGCCTCTTCAGTGTGGTCGAACACGCTGGAAGCACAGAGTCGCTCTGGAGGGCTGATGGAGGTAAGATACTGTGTGAAGATAAAACCCTTTTCATGGAAGACATTCTGTCACTTGACATGTCACAGTAGGAGAAGTGCAGGTGTAAAAAATACAATGATGGCAGAATGCCTCGGTTTCAGGATCCTGTTCATGCTAGCGTACTAAGATTATAACGGAGACTGTATTTTAGTAACACCTGTGGTTTTCCTGCAAATGTCAAAATGTCTGCTCTTAAAAAAAGACAATCAACCAAATTTGCTGGCATTCATTAACTTTGACTTTTGACTTTTTGCTTAAAATTTCAAAAGGAGTCATTTATTTGCCCACTTATGTCAACCGGTGTTATTTTTGTCAGGTCTTTGACATCACTCCACTTATTTCTTACCATTATTTTGTTACTGCACACAGTGCAAAGCATACATTATTTTTTTCTATTAGGGGCGGGTCTTAGCATTATTTGTTATATACTTAATTTTTTACTCTTGTTATTATTCTTATGTTCTTGTAATTTACTTTTTCTCTTTTAGTTTACTTATTTTACAAAATGTTCTATTCTATTCCATCCAGTCAGTATTACTTCTTATACACTACATATTTATTACTCTATTATTACTTTGTTGTTTTTTTCTTATTCTTCTGTGGTAATTTTTCATCAATCTCTGGCACAAGAATATCCTTCGGAATTAATAAATAGATATCTTATCACTTTTATTTTATATGAAATAACTCAAGTGGAATGCAGTCTTTCGCTTTTAAGGATTCAGCACCCATCTACACACTCTATGAACTCTATGAAATATCAATTGTTTTATCTGAAGTAGAGTCCAAAACTCAAACATATTCAGTTGACAGTATTATAAAACAGAGCAAACCCTTACTACATCAGTTATTTAAATAAATGTACATATTCTAAATGGTAAAGTGGAGTAGAAATCAATGATGTTTTTAATTAATATGTCAGGTGTACAGTGCAGTGGAGTATGGCAACACAATATAACTGTTGTGTTTCATGTCATTCGGCTTTTGTCTAGAATACCTGGTGAATTAAATTACTCGTAGAGGTCAGAGGCAGAACACAAACGTCTACCATGAGTCAAAATTCACAATCTTGCTTTCACATCTTAAGTCTCCATTCCTGTTGAATATTCACTGACTTGACAGTGCAAGCATGCGTCCAGGATTCAAACAGTCCCATAAACCACAATTTCTGGAAAATGGATATAATCGCTGTCTTGAATCGCTGTTTTGCGATTAGGAGCCAGTCCAGCCCGGCAGTCTCCTGCCGCAGGGAAACCCACCAGTGCACCGGTCTGTGGACCTGACCCCGGCTCTCAGCGGTACGGAAGCCTGGTCCAGGAGTTCTTCAGGAATGTCTGCAGCAGCCGTGGCCCAGGAGCAGTCGCCCTGTCTGAGGAGAGACCGCAAAAAGACTCCAATTGCAGCCTCGGAGGTCCGGGTGTCTCGGGGAGTTTCAGCGGAGTGGATGAGCCCAAGCCGGAGTGCGTGTCAGTCGTGGTCGGGGGATTCGGAGCGCTGGCTGGAAGCAACGACAGCGTGACCAAGATCGTCAATAAGAGGTTCATGAGACAGACGGTCAAGGAGGAGATGGTCGGTATCATGGGAGGAGGGAAAGAAACGACGAGCAACGCCGGCGCGGCAGGATCTGGGACAGAGGTGCGTCCATCGGAAATGTGCTTTAATTATGAACTTTAAAGAGGACCATACCAGTGGTTGTTTTATTCCATTTACATTAAATAACATTTACTGTACATCACAGCTCCTCTGCCAACAATTAATCTGGGTTTTACAAAAGTCTATATTCTTTCTACTATTCCAGTAGAACAGTGGTTTCTTTTTCGAAAGCATGCTCAACAGTTTTTGATTTCTTTCTGTATTTCCGTCATTTTGCCCTGGTATGGTCTTTTTAAAACTCAATCTAAAATAAAAAAAATATGTTCATAATATAATATGACAACGTTCATACCTACCTACATGTTTGGATAAATACGACATCTTTCCATTTCCCAGGATGCACCCTGTGACTGTGCTGCCCAGTCCTCCTGCCTCGCCCGACCGTCAAGAGCAGCCGGAGCTCACCATTCGCTCAGCCAGTGCAAGCACCGCCCACAAGAGTCTCCGACGACACCCGAGGAGCAGGGGGACACCTGCAACGAGTGACGACGCTTCAAAGACACGCAACACACACACACACACACATACACACACATGCACACGCAATACCAATTCTTCACAAAAACTGTACATCACTGTCATGACAAAAACCCAATTCCTCACACCTCTCACGTCAGCAAATGTACATTCACACATACAACCTGCCACACAGGTGCACTGCCAAACATCACACACACAGGTGCACTGCTAGCACACTGCACAGACTGCCCCACAAACCCACTGCCACATGCACACATCCATAACACTAGTCTTGGACTGTACCATTCTGATGCCAAGGACAGGGAGGTCAGAAACTCCAAGCCAGCAACAGATCCAACCATCACAAAACTACCAGCAGGACATAAAACACACATTCATTTGACACGCTTTACTAAACAAGAGTAACTCCACGAACTAGTCTAACAAGTAAAACTATGATGTCAGGACCGGATCTACTTAACCCTTCAAAGCCCCCCCCCACACATTTACAAAATAAGGTACTACAAATTGTCCGTTTTGGACTGGAAAATCCACCTTTACGACGTCGTCTTGCCACCATGCTGTTGGACCAGTAGCCATGTTGGATTTACAGATAAGTAAAGAGGAAAAAAGGACGTGGTCCCAGTTTGAGTTTGCGTTGAAAGTGCATGTGTTACTTTGAGAGCCACAGTATAAAACTGGAGAGGAGACATCAGGTCACAGCTGGAAAGATCTTCCACATTGTGGTAGCAACTCTGAAACCATCAGTCTAAGATGATTTCTCTCTGAACTTTGTCGTCATATACACACATGCTGTGCTGGGAAATGCAATTCTGCCTTTTTGATTCATTAGCACAATTAGCACAATAACTATCCAACGAGTGTCTCCAACAAGGATCTGATAACGCCACCTTTTGATGACGCATCTGCTTCGGTTGCAGCCTGGCATTCAACGGTCCTGTTACGGTAGATGGTGAAAGGAGAGTTCTTATTGGACTACAAATCCCAGCATGACTAGATTTGGACTCCATGGATTGATGTTTGGACTCGTCAGCTCTATAAATGAGACCATACAACTGATTTGAGTGGACCTCCTACCATTGTTGCGTAGTAGCAAACGGAAAGAACGAAAGAAGATCCCCAGGCCTGCTCGCAAGTAACTGTCCCTTGTGCTCACAGAAGGACTTTGGCCACTAATACGGAGACGTTTTGTGGCATCGTAGTTGTGGTTACTAAACCCTATAGATGTAAGGAAACCCACTTCAAACGTCTTACCCTCCAGAGTCTGGTTGGAAGAATTATAGTTTTGGTTTGGACCTGTTGCAGCAGGCAGAAAGTGCCTGCTCGTTTCCTATTTTGAGATATTTCTTAACTGATGTCAGGATTCATCTTTAACCCTTTGATCATCGTCCACCTAAAAGCCCATCTGCTGTTTTCACTTGGCATTGGATGGAGATGCACTGATATGACTTTTCAAAACTTGTTTTTTTACCAGTTTTGCAGAGTGCCTCAACAACTAGTTTGGCATCCTGCTCCACAGGCCAAAAAAAGTATTCCAATTCCCTCCATTCTGTAAAAAACAGTACAGAACATTTAGGTGGTTTACACTAAATATCAACGTCACGCGTGACTTTTGGAATCTGGTTAAGATGAATTAATTAATTAATTAATTAATACGATTAAGAAAGGTTTTAACAACACTAATGATATTGACCTGATGTCCAGCAGCTTCATCGGTGCATCCCTACCCTGCTGTGCTTCATGGCATCAGATACGAGGTGTGTCCAAACTCAAAATGCTCATCGACCAGAAACACTCACTAACTCTAAGCAGTGTCCAAGGAGAACTCGGAAGCATTCCTTTTATTAGTCTTTCCCAGATGTGTGTGTGTGTGTGTGTGTGTGTGTGTGTGTGTGTGTGTATGGTTTGTATGTACGTTTAGTCATTGAATTCTCAGCGTTATGGTGTACCAGTGCATCATTTCCAGGTCTAGTGAAGGGGATAGTTTTTAAATACTTCCTCTTTTCCCTCCGCTCTTCTCTCACGCACAACTGTCCTCGTGTTGTAGTACGTCACCGCCGGCGTAGCTACTCTACGAAATCTATACGCATTTTGAAAAATGTAGCATTATAACGGGATCTTGGTAAAGAACCAGCGGAGAGCTGTGACTGTCCGTTTGAAGCCAGAGTAGTTTAAGCACTGAGTTTTTACTTTTTAACAAATACATTCGAGACAGTCAGTAAAAGACAAAGAAATATGTTCCGGGGTTACTGACACAAATGCTCTCATTGGTGAATTGGAAACTTAAAACGAATACTGTAAACTGAAAACAATCATATTTGGAAGGGTTTTTAATTCCATTTCTTTCTCCTGTCCCTTTGTTTGTTTCTAATCAATCAATCAATAGATATTCAAAGTGCCTGTCAGATTACTTTTTAGTCAGCTCACACCAAAACTGGACTCCATATAAAAAAAAAAAACACAAACAAACACAGCGGGCCTTTTTTTTTTTAAATGGGCGAGATTGTTTTTATGCACATAATTGCGATCAGGCTGTAGTAAGTAAAGCTACAATAGAGTACTGTACCACAGTGGAGGAAGGACAAGACGGTTTACAGGTATAGTAGGACATAGTATGCACACCATACTAACTTTTTTTTTATACCAAGGGTTATTGTATTTCTGGAAAGTAATTTATTTTTGTTTGGTTTATTTTGTATGGATATTTTTGCTGATTTATCAGCCTGTTGTTTCTATTATTTCTGTTCAGTTATCACGGTGCTACTTAGTGTGACATCTGCTGTGGGCTCATCTATTTGAACTATGTCTATTTGTGAGCTGCAGTCGAGCGTTTCTCCATCTCTGCACACGATTTAATGACTCAGCAGTTTAAAATAGGGCATTACAGTAACAGTGCATGTATTTAAATAACACAGGGAGGAAAAGCCACAGTCTACATGCGGCTGTCTGTCTCCGCTCCAGCCCTCGATGCTGGTACAAAACCCAATTATCTGAAACCAGTCACCGCTTCAAAAGCTACTTGCTACGGGAATAGACGGGTCAGATGTTGGACCACAATTATACAACAGGTTGTTTTAGCCAAGCACTCTAATTGGTTAAAGACCACATGAAGTCATATGACCTCATTAGAATGCTTCCAAATAGCACCGCTAATATGTACACATCCATTCCTGTCTACATTCCATGATATTATTTTTTAAAGCTTTGTAGTTACATAATACAATTACAAACCACATCTGGTGTTGTGACTTAAGAGAATTACCTGATAATACATAACAGCAGAAAAGGGCTCGCTAAGACTTAGCTCGCTAACAAGCTAACAGGTTCACTTAGCAAAGCAGTGACCTGTGAGTCCGGACTAGCTTTTCCATACTCTGAAAAGTAAAACACGTTTAGGGAAAAGTCCACAGAAAATCCACCGTTTGTCGTATCAAACTGTAAACTTGCCATCCAGAAAGGTGGCTCTGAAAAGTTTAGCTTGTTTCTTCGCAGCTGTTGTCTGCTGGGATTTGGCAATTTCAAGGATTCCACAATGACCAGTTCACACTCCAGCAGCATAATCCACTTCTTTGCTGCCTCTCCGTGGTTATGTTTCCTACAATTATTCAAAATGTGGCTAATTATACTGCTTCTGTTTGGCACTAGCACGGTTAGCTGTTTGCATTTGTTGCACACAGCTCTGTATGCTAATGTAGTAATGTCAACTTTTTTCCCAGTCAGGAGGTCTGGCACATTTTATCAAAACTAAAAAGAGGAGGACCTTGGCAGAGTCAGTGATACTAAGGCAAGAAGACAGTGGGATTTTAATTTTAATTGAATGAACGCAAACCCTACAAAATAAAAGCACAAACGTGGCCCAGCTCAATGACACGAGTGAAACAATAATTCTTGATTGTGAGAAAGATTGTGCTCTACCTCTTACACTTTTTACACCATTACCGAACTCTGAGTCACCTCATTAAGTAACACGACGATAAGGTACGAGTGTATCTTTAACGTTTCTGTGCATCGCCCTGAATGAGACGGTCACTTTGTGCCTCTCCTCTGCAAAGATGTCTGGCTTGAATTTAAACCAACAATTTTTCTGCAAATAGTTGACTCCACCTAGTACGAACTGCACGATGGTTCATTACATCTGGAGTTCAGATCAGATGTCTTCAGGTGTAGAATGATCTGTGTTTACGTTCATCTTCCATTGTTGCTCTCCTTCATACATTTTGACTGACCAATAAGGGACCTCAGTGTCAGGACTACAGTACGACTCAGAAATTGGTTTTGCTTTTGTGTGACCAGACCTCCAAGCGGCAAACAATTCGGACCACGGTTATGTTTTGTTATCAGCCAACCTCCAGTCTTATGTTTTCTGCTGATATTGCAGAATGGAACGTAGGCCGGTATTTTAGACATGATACGATAGACGATTCCAGCGCACGTTGAGACTGTGGATAAAACTATTTTCATTTCATATTAGAGGACGCAAAAAAATACAGAACGTTTCATGTTTTTAGCTGATTTGAACACATAAAATAATTAGTTTTTAATGCTTTACAACTCGTGATTCTTCCTATAATAACGTCAGATGTGACTGATATAGCTGGAAACACACCTCACAGCTCCTTCTGGTCTTTAACGTGGATGTATTTTCGCCAGCATAGAAGACTCCAAACTCTCTCCGACTCGGATGTCATTGGTCAGTTCTGCCTCGGCCTCTCCGGCCTTTCCACCTGCCTGTCAGGTGTTATATTTGCTCCTCCCCCTCAGGTTATAAGTACACAGACATAGCAGCCAATGACAGACGGTTTTTAATGGGTCGCACGTCATCACCAGCCAATAACTGATGAGCTCTTACAGGTTGCATGGCACAAACCACGACTCTCATTATCCCCCGTGTGTCTGTAAGCCTGTGGCCTGAAAAGCAGCCTTTTTAACGTGTTTCCATACCATTCATATGATTGTTACATCCTGGGAATATGTAAATGAATTCTTAGCTGTTCATAATGTTAGCTCAACGATTACCTAGAGACTGCCTGTATATTTGCTTTATATAACCTGCTCTTGTCTTTTTTTAATAACACCTGTTTTCTTGAATAATAGGAGACTGCAATGAATGACAAATTAAATGATAGAAATGTGTCCCCCTTGTATTGCAAATTGGAAAAGACAGAAAAAGGTTTGTACTATCTCCCTCCTTTTGTTTCTTTGAGAACAGCTGAATGTCAACAGCTGATCTGAGGCGGGTCGCGCTGTGGAAGTATGTAGCTCTCTCCCTTTACAGGCCCCCACTTGAGCATTTCTTCTGTACATAGGTGCATTTTTGAAGCTGACGAAAAACAAAAAAGGCAGCAGACGTTTAATGAGTAAGATGAGGAAATTTGATCCAAGTGGATTTTTAAAAAGGTTGAGGATTTAAAGTTTTTTTTCTTTTCTTTTTTCAACCAATGTAGCTTGTAAAACAAGATATTATAACTGCCTCCTGTTTGTCATAAAATTCACAAATAAATGTTTGTTGGAATTTATCACGGTTTGTTTTCTCGTCATTTTGTACATATTGAGCTTTGGGTAAAATGTCCCCTCTTTGTCCCCCTGTCCTCTACCGTCTTTGATAACAAATGAGTTGCTATTCGTCCAGTGACTATACAGGTATGGGCAACTCAAATGATATTTGGTTTATGTTGCGGCCATAGTTGAAAGAACCCAACGGTGAGTGTTGTGAGTGGATGGGATGGCAACAGTTGTCAGTATCACAGACGGGAATAAAATGTCAGCATAATGCCTCGGCTGTTCAAGTGCTTATTATCTCTATGAATAAAGGAGACCTAACCCACTGAGTGGAGTGGACAGATGGTGTTTTGTTGCGACAGCATTTGGAAAACACACATTATGAAAGATAGAATTATATGAAGTAATTAGGCAGCACTCCTCTTTTCGCCGTAAGCAGCCAGAACTGCAGACTAAACAAACTCTGTAGTTTATTTTCTGTTTTTGTGAAGCTATATAGTCATCTTATCCCTTTGTTTGTCTTGAATCCTCATATGGCTCGAAGTGGAAATGAAGCTGGTATGTTTTGCAAATCTGTGAAGGTAAGAGGGAGACAATGAAGAGGAAACTGAATGGGATAAGAAGGAGAGAGAGAATGACAACGAGCTGAAGAACAAGATACAGGAGATGAGTAAGATTGCTTGAAGGAAGGAATAGAGACCAACCGAAAGAACAAAGGTCCTAAACACTTAGTGACACAAACTAGCACGGTGTGTTAAGCCTCGGGCTGAATCTGTAGTTTGTGCAACAAATACAAAGGAAGGAAGATGGTCGCTCAACCTGCTGCCGGCAGGATGGGAGACTGAAAAGGGAAAATGAGTGGAAGAAGAGAAGAAAGAGAGTTTCCCTGCAGGAAATGAATAAGAGTACATCCCTGCAAGCTGCTCTGTGGTGCTGTACTGAAGCACAGTGGTGCTTTCAGCTAAATGCTGTATTCAAATGCTAACAACGTTAACATGCTGATGTTGCATTGGTCTCATTGTAACGAATGAGTGGGCTGCGTCTTTGGACCCACTTGACGCAGTGCTCAGTCGTTTTTGTGAACTTTTACTTTATTTGAGCATTTTTAAAAATCAGTCATTTTACTTAAGAAATAATACTTAATAAATTTTTGCGGGCTGAAGCTACTTCAAGCACAATCAAATGAAGTACCACATAAAGGGTGTGGTTATAATTAGCATTATGGTACCTCGGCATGGTTAAACAAGTGGTTGCCTCTATCTTAATTAATGACTGATTTGCACCACCTGGCGAGCACGCTAAGCGACACACCCACGATGTTCGTGACCTGTCGGTTCACGGAGAAGAACTGTGGAGGACTTTGCGGTGCCGTTCAGAAAGGTGAGTACAAAGACACCCTCACTGGACTCTCCAGATGAGTTACAAAATCATTTCACTCCAGGTTAATAGCAGATAATAGCAGACCACCTCAAGGTGTCACTCACACAGAAACCAGAACATTCTGATGGAGCATTTCAAAATTAAAGCCCTTCAAAATCTCATTCATGAGACAATTTGTCTAATTTCAGATTCGATTTTTGAGGAAATGGTGCATCGTGCACATGTTTAAATACCGCCTAGCGCGCGACTATTTTACAAGGCAACGAAGTGGGATTTTCTTTCTCACGTTCGTGTCTCTCTTTTGCTGTAGTGTGTGTGTGTGTGTGTGTGTGTGTGTGTGTGTGGTTTATATTCTTTACATGTCTGCTTTGGTGATGTTTTATTCTGCTGTTGTCCATAGATTTATTTTTTGCCCATAATTTTACTTTTTATGAGTTGTCTGTTTTCTATTGAATTATTGTCGCGCTACACTGGGGAAGGTAGTTGTAAATGTATAATTGATAATCGGCTGTATGCACAGACTACAGAGTGCCCATCTGTGGGTTTGAACAGAGGTGGTTTCGTTGCTGATGTTGTTCCACTAAAGATGTTTTTTAATATAATCAGTAGTATCACAAATCATCCTCTTCTCCCATAACGTTTTAAATGCCCTACTTTTGACTTTTACTTAAGGGGCCAGTGTTAGTGTTGGCTGAAATTTAAGATAACATGAATAGGTACAGTTGTGTGAAAAAGTGTTTGCCCCCTTCCTGATTTCTTATTTTTTTGCATGTTTGTCACACTTAAATGTTTCAGATCATCAAACAAATTTAAATATTAGACAAAGATAACACAAGTAAACACAAAATGCAGTTTTTAAATGAAGGTTTTTATTATTAAGGGGGAAAAAAAATCCAAACCTACATGGCCCTGTGTGAAAAAGTGATTGCCCCCCCCTGTTAAAACATAAATTAACTGTGGTTTATCACATCTTTGGAAAGCTGAGTTCAATTTCTCTAGCCACACCCAGGCCTGATTACTGCCACACCTGTTCTCAATCAAGAAATCACTTAAATAGGACCTGCCTGACAAAGTGAGGTAGACCAAAAGATCCTCAAAAGCTAGACATCATGCTGCAATCCAAAGAAATTCAGGAACAAATGAGAAACAAAGTAATTGAGATCTATCAGTCTGGAAAAGGTTACAAAGCCATTTCTAAAGCTTTGGGACTCCAGCGAACCACAGTGAGAGCCATTATCCACAAATGGCGAAAACATGGAACAGTGGTGAACCTTCCCAGGAGTGGCCGGCCGACCAAAATTACCCCAAGAGCGCAGCGACGACTCATCCAAGAGGTCACAAAAGACCCCAGAACAACATCCAAAGAACTGCAGGCCTCACTTGCCTCAATTAAGGTCAGTGTTCATGACTCCACCATAAGAAAGAGACTGGGCAAAAATGGCCTGCATGGCAGAGTTCCAAGACGAAAACCACTGCTGAGCAAAAAGAACATAAAGGCTCGTCTCAGTTTTGCCAGAAAACATCTTGATGATCCCCAAGACTTTTGGGAAAATATTCTGTGGACTGACGAGACAAAAGTTGAACTTTTTGGAAGGTGTATGTCCCATTACATCTGGCGTAAAAGTAGCACAGCATTTCAGAAAAGGAACATCATACCAACAGTAAAATATGGTGGTGGTAGTGTGATGGTCTGGGGCTGTTTTGCTGCTTCAGGACCTGGAAGACTTGCTGTGGTAAATGGAATCATGAATTCTGCTGTCTACCAAAAAATCCTGAAGGAGAATATCCGGCCATCTGTTCGTGACCTCAAGCTGCAGCGCACTTGGGTTCTGCAGCAGGACAATGATCCAAAACACACCAGCAAGTCCACCTCTGAATGGCTTAAGAAAAACAAAATGAAGACTTTGGAGTGGCCTAGTCAAAGTCCCGACCTGAATCCGATTGAGACGCTGTGGCATGACCTTAAAAAGGCGGTTCATGCTCGAAAACCCTCCAATGTGGCTGAATTACAACATTTCTGCAAAGATGAGTGGGCCAAAATTCCTCTACAGCGCTATAAAAGGCTCATTGCCAGTTATCGCAAACGCTTGATTGCAGTTGTTGCTGCTCAGGGTGGCCCAACCAGTTATTAGGTTTAGGGGGCAATCACTTTTTCACACAGGGCCATGTAGGTTTGGATTTTTTTCCCCCTTAATAATAAAAACCTTCATTTAAAAACTGCATTTTGTGTTTACTTGTGTTATCTTTGTCTAATATTTAAATTTGTTTAATGATCTGAAACATTTAAGTGTGATAAACATGCAAAAAAATAAGAAATCAGGAAGGGGGCAAACACTTTTTCACACAACTGTATGTTTTGTGTATCATCACCTGAAAATATGAATAGTTGTGTTGAGCCATTTATATCTAAATAAGAAACAGGTGCTCTTATCCGAGTTTACCATCCAATGTTTCTACTGCAGCCCGGAACGCACAAACCAAATACTGGCTCGAGACCGGTCCATTTGTGTTTTGGCATCAGGCTCCATAGTTCTCCATCAGGCTTCAGGGCACACAGGAGATGTTTCAGTTGGTTGCAATCTGCAACCTCACCGCAAGATGCCACTAAATCCTACACACTGGCCCTTTTAAGTTCACACAAATAATTTGACTTGTGTAAAATGTCTTTAAATTTAATCAACAAATGCAGAGTATAATACAACACAATCTTGGCTCTTGGACATCGTAGCTGAGATTAAAAAAAACAATGTTAAGTAATCAATCAGTGGGCAAAATGTCTGAAACGTGAAAGTTGATTAGATGTTTACCATTCAGATGATGTTTCGTGTATTGATATAGTCATTTAATAACTCTTAACACAGAATCAGGGTTACTTAACAATTGTAAGTCGGAATGTTTTTTATTTTTTTAAACTAGACTTTCTTGGTTTCTCATCAAGTCAGGTGTCTCACTTTATGAAAGCTGCTCCTGTGCTCCCTCACAGTGCACTTACAATGTGCACTGTTGTCGTCTTTTGTCTTATGGATTCCAGTATTTACTAGTTCAGTCGCATGCTTTCTTTGACACTTTTTTTCTTTTCTCTGTTCGATTTACTTTTGCTTTTGTCCTCAAAGTGTCTTGATTATGAGAGAGCAAACAAGCTATAAGGATGCCAGCGGCCCTGATGGACAGACAGGAAGCAACCTTTAAAAACAAAAGAACCACTTCCTGTTTTGACTGAACTGAAACATCAGAGAGGGAATGGTAGAGCCGGGTAGTATTAAGTATTTTGTTGACTGGACTGTTACTCAAAGTGAATTTGTCTTTGGTAATTGTTACACTGTTATTTTTTTTTATCCAAATGTATGCTCCTCTTTTGATTTGTTATTTGTACTTTTTTAGACCTGGACCTACATACAGTAAATGCATAAATGAGAATTATATTATTGAGTTTCACGACATCCATGATCAGCGAGTGAGATGATTTTTTGAAACACTTACACATGAAGGTTGTTAGCTGATCAAAAAAAACGACTCAATCAGGGCACATAAATATTTCAGCAAGTATAGATTTACTTGTTCCTCGTGTTACGCCTTCAGTTAATTCAATGGATTTTCTTCAGTAGGCAATTTCACTGAGCCCAAATCCCAGCAGTCAAACTAAGGTGTATCAACTCCAGGAAAGTTAGATTCCCTGTTAATTCAACCAACTCAAGGATGTGGAGATACAAGAGAGCGTTATGCAAACATTCCTCTAACTTCGTCTGAACTTTCACTTGTTTTTATCTTTCTAGACTTCTGCCTCGTGTGTGTGTGTGTGTGTGTGTGTGTGTGTAGTCTAAACCTAGCTAAAATAGGTCAGTATTAGAGGAAGCTTGAGGAGGTATTATGTCAAAGCAGTATTCTTTTGTATCTGCCTATCTATCGCTGAGAATGGGTTGGCGGTGTATGAGATGAGGGGAGCCGGGCAAAGGACTGAAAGTACAAAGTATCCTTCACAGGAGGAAGTTAGACCCTTTTTTCCCTTTTTCATTTTGAAAAGGTTTGAGTTGCTGGAATGAATAGTTCCCAAATGTAATATCTGTCTTACTCTTACCGTCAACAAATCCCATGAAAAGACCAAACCCAAGATGAATTGATCCTAACAAGCGTCGTCTCTGCACAATAGACCTGCATTGTTGTCCTGAGACGATATAAAACCCATCAATGAGGCATCATTATGAGGTCACGTCACTGGGTGCCATGCTCCTTCATTACGATAAACACTGTAATTTCTTTAGAATAAATCCCACATCCACTGTCCTGCTGCTGTAAATACTCACTAAGGCACCAAATGTGTATTACTCCACAGCTGGAAATAGTCCCAAACAAATGCACCATTTACTTTATTCGCTAAAAAAACTACAGTGACCCGTTTTCAGAAGTTGTGGGATCTACCTGTATGTAAATGTGAATAGAAATGAAACAAATCAAATGTGTGTGCGACTTATGGTTTAGCTGTCACAGTTTACATCACGCAGCCAAAAATACACCCACACGTACAAACACAGGATACAGTCAGCGAGGCTCCAGTCATTAAAACTAAACACAAGGAGAGGAACTCGAGCTCTTCACTCCAGACTAAATGCACAAAACACACACGGATACGCGCGGCATCTCTCTCACAGAGACGGTGGAATGTTTGCCAATACATTTGATGAGGACCAAATCTGCTCTGAGAGGAAGGGAGGGCCTTTCCTTTCACAAAACACTCACTGAGCCAAGTCACCATCACCTCAAATGAAGACATAAACAACAGGCGGTTAAAAGTAAGCATGGATTTCTGCAGCGATGAGGAAAACGCATCAAATATACACTTTGCTTCCGCTCCACACTGACCTGTCTTCTCTGTCCCTGCTTCTTATTTCTCTTATCAGATAAGTGATTACACTTGGGAGCCCTGAGGGACTGTAGTGACGGCATAGGTTCAATCAGAGCGAGAGCGACCGACCGAGTTACCCCTTGCAGTTCAGAGGAAGCATGCTTCCATCCACCTGAAATGGAAAAGTTAGTTGCATTTTGCCTTCATTAATACACTAAGTAAACTAGAGAAAGACTTGACGAATAAACTACATGACTTAGACATGCACTGATGGCAATAAGGAGACTGTAATGTTCCTTAAAATCAATACATGACACAAACATGAATGCACGGTTTGAGGTTTGGCTCTCTTTTAGCCACCTCATCGTGCCCTCTTCCTCTGTAGTGGCTTAGTGGTACCCGACTGGAGAATTTGTACCACCAACGGCTTATCATGATACTTTTACCTCCTAATATTCCCATAACAGTGGTGAATAGAAATTTACATTTTATTTTGCAGGTTTTTCTTCCCTTGAACTGAGGAGGAAGTCGTTCTCTTTGCCTGCAGCGGGACCATTTGCCTGTGAATGTAAAGAACACATTATTAGGAGTGAACAGGTGAACAGGAGTCCTGCATCAGATACTTACTGCAGGCGTAGGTTAGGATTCATAGTGGAGCGTCAGATTTCACCCGTTCATATCGACACAACACCAGAGGCATAGCTTTGTGCTGTGTAATTATATTCTCCACCGCAACTTTCCTTTTTTTTTTTGTTTCCACTTTTTCATTTACGTTGTGATTTTGAGCTACCGCTTCGCACATACTTATAGAACTGGAGTTACATCCCCATTATTAATTACATACTCCTCAATGACTACACACCGCCATCAACAGCAATACATTTTGTGCGGTGAGTTTTTAAACCTTAATTTGCTTATTTTAACCGTCATAGACCATCTTTAATAACAGGGTTCGTAGCTGTAAATGAGGACTTGAACCAGACAATGACTGAATAAACAAACAAAGGGAGAGTTCAACTGTGCTTGAAAAGACCAAACATATTTCTGGTGGTGTGGTGCCCTCTTGTGGCGGAATTACTGTATAACATTATAGAAGATAAAAACCACAATACAACACGTTCACATTAATACTCCAATAAAAAACTATTAATTCACATGCAAAGTAATGACAAGTTATTCAAAGTGATGCAAATTAGATACAATATATAATATAATTAACACAAACTAGTAGATTCCACTAAGATGCAATAACACCCTACGTCTGTGTGTTTTCTCTTACCTTGCGTTGTAGTTTGTAGATTCAGTGCAGCCTGTCGGGGATATTTCACACTAGAAGTTTTCTTAAAATCAATCTGGTTCCTTCCTTTAGAGTGGATTTTATCCGCACATAGTTACATGCTGAGTCATTTGACCCAACAGCGCTTTCAAGTGGTCTGATTTGGCAGTTTTTGGCTAATAAGGGACGAAATCTACTGTGTCTAGGGAGGATTTAGGAAAGGAAGGAGTGCTTTGGATCCAGTGTCTTGTTCAGAGGATGAAGTGAGGAAAGTTATTAAAGAAACTAGCTGCAGTGGATGAAGAAAAAGCGCACACTATGGAAAAGATTAAGTTATATTGAATGGGAATTGGAGGACAAGTTTTAATTGGATAATGGACTTTTTGAACAAGAGAACTATCCAGGTAAAAGTAGAGTGAGCTAAGTCCTATACTAGTCTTAATAATGATGAATGACATTATTCAAAATGTTTTGTAGATGTGAGGAGACGGCGATTTGCAGATGATGGGGATTTGTGGAAAAGGAGAAATTTGGGTCATTTAATTTAAAAAAATGGGATTAAATCAAGTAGAGATGTTCTTTCCCAAGATTGACAATTAGAGGAAAAGAGTCATTAGAAACGGTATGAAAGTGATTTATAGACAGATTTTTAGAAGTACATTTTGACTCCAGCGCGTCATAAAGAGAACACATTAAAGTATTGTGCATAAGTGTAAGAAATGCCTTGTAGGGTTGGACAGGGGAGCGGGTATTGTATGCTTGAAATGTATGTTATGAAGCTCAAATTAGATCCACGGTTAGATTACGAGTGTCGTTTATGGATCTGCATCAGAAACTGTACTTAGAGGATTAGATGATCCATCACACCACTGGTTCACATCTGTGCTGCTGACGTTCCATTGTGAGACACATGCTTCACACACATAAGAAACTTATAACCCAACACCTGTTATGGCCATAACTTTTGAACACAGGGAGAATTCGCCCCCCTTCCTTCCTGCAGCCATGTGCTCTCAATCGCCTCCAAAACACAACAGCAGGCTTAAGTCAAAATCAAATGGATTTATTATCCAAGAAGCATAAAAACAGATACAAATAGTCATAAACCGAATCACACTATAACAAAACAAACATATAAATTCTATGAAATGTGAGATCCAATCCGAGCCACCCAGGAGGCTGGTATGCCCTCCTCGGTGGCCAGCAGAAGATCTGCAATCCCCCAGAGCTTCAAACCTTTTGTCACCCCAAAGATACATTCCTCAGCACATCGATCAGCTCATTGATTGGCTGAAGTCCAACAAGCCCCTCCTGGGCCGTTGATCCATTGTCCTAAACTTCACACCTCAAGCAGCCACTTTCACACAACCCCCGCTCTCAGCACATTCCTCAAACCTGATCACACAGACGCACTACTGTGCTCAAACTCCTACAAGTAAATACACTAACATATAATATCCTTAATTAGGAGCTTCAAAACCTAAATTTCTCACACACCAACACCTCAGAGTGCAATCATCGGAACTTCCTTAGCTCCTCCCCTTACCTGTAACTATTTTTGTCTCAGAATACTTGTGATGTGGCTGATATTCACTTTTGGTGCAAACAGTGTTTTATTCTTAATAACACAAGATTGTGCTTTGAGGCGTTGGGTAAAGTGCCACACTGGCATGTCTTTCTGAGACCGTTCAATCGAGTCATCGTTAATGTTATTAAAAAAAACAGATGGTTACATTAAAATTTAGAAATATACACTTTTTCTGCTTTGCTATAATAACTTTTCATCGTTTTTGTTGATTTAGGGAACCGAGATTAAGCAGCGCTGCCGTGATATGAACCTTGTTAGTACTTTCCACATCAGCTGGTTAAAAAAGGCCAATTCTGCAGAGATAATAAACAAACAAAAAGCATTTTATTACAACCAACAAGAGGATAAATGCGCCACTGAAGACCAACCGACACATCTGACGTAAGCAGACATCATTATTTTTTTGACACTAACTACTTGAAGAAAGTCTTAATGAAAACATAACTACAGCATTTTGATAAATCCATGTAAAACATTCACCTTATCTTTTAAGTTACATACTCTATAAAATACAGGTCCTATAGACAGTATGATTATCTACAATATTTACATCACATTGTACCAACAGAAGTATGAACAACGTTTTTACACTTTGTGTTGCTAAAAGGAGTTGATAACCCAAGCAAGCTAAGTTTGACTTAACTTTCATGTCGACGTAATGAAAACATTAATAAAACGAACTGCACGGCCTGATGGTAATGTCTGCTACATGAAGCTACTGGCTAACAGAGTTGTTAAATAGACCGAGGCTTCGTCACTGCAGCGATGAGTGCGCCGCAATGCACAAGTGCGTCGGTATCATCTGTAGCTGAAAATAAATTGGGCTGAGATGCGTGACAAGGCGAGACATTTAGTGTTCGAGACATGCATCTCTATTCACAGTATTCATACATGAAGACGAAGGTATTATCCCGCCTCCTTTAGCGTGCGTGACTATGACTGACGGTCATGAAGGCAGGAGAGTTCAGGTGGCCACAGTGATTTAGTTTTCTGTTCACAAGGCTGCAGCAGCATTTGCCGGAATATAGTACGACTACCAACAGTTGAAACTAGCATGCGATGAGTGTAAGAGGGGTTGGCTAAAAGGACCTGGCCCACAGTAGTTGCACTAATCTGTAATATTGTCCCAACTTTAAAGACATCTGTATCTATTAAATGCAAAAAAAAAAAAAAAAAAAAAAAGGCAGCTCCAGCTTAACTTGGGTAGAATTCTCCGCCATCTATTTACTGGGGGTGATTTTGTCCAGTCCTGGCCATGTGGGGATGTAGTAGCGATGCAAAGTGCCTTCCATGAGCCTCTCCATCCACAGCGCCAGGCGGTCCAGCTTGTGGTGGGTCTGCAGGGTGGATAAGCTGCGGGATCGCTTGGATCTGCGCGGCAGGTGGTCGTCGCGGGAGCTGGACCTGGACCTCCCCCCGGAACCGGCCCCTTCGTCCTCGGATGACTTGCTGCTGGGGTCCTCCCCGGTGTAGACGGGCTTAAACAGACAAAGGTACTTTTTGTGGCCGTTGAGTGCCAGCACGTAGCCCGTGTAGTCCATCTTGTGGTTTCCCCCGTCGTCCTCGTCAATCTGCATGGCGTCCTGGGCGTATTCCAGCAGTGTGTTCATCCACTCGCCGTGCTTGTCAATATTCAGGAAGGAGAAATGCAGAGTCGGGCTCCTGGGAGAGAGAATGAATGTGATGACGCAGGACTGTTTAAATGTAATGGACTTTTATTTGATGTTGAGCTTACCCTGTGAAGGAGTAGACCTCTTTGGCAAACTTGCTCAGGAGGATGTTCTTGGAGGCGTCGGTGAGCACCAGCACTATGTTCATGTGTCCCGGCCTCAGCTTCACCAGGTTGCTTATGTAAGTGATATCCGTCAGCTCCGTCACCTCCACAAAACTCTTTTTGGGAGGCCGACTGTAATCGACGGCAAAAAAACAAAAAGCTTGAAAACACGATGATAAATCCTGCACTCGATAAATCATAAATATATGGAAATGATACTTGTATTCTTGCCTTGAAGTCCCTGGAGACCCATTTTCTGCTTTTGATTCGTCTTTTGCCTTTGGTTTAGTCTGCTTATCTTCACTTGAGTCACTGAAAACACACAACAGCAAAAAGAGGGATGTGCAGGCGTAGAAGAGTGAAAAAGATGAGCATTGTTTCTTTGTTTCCTCTGGCTTGTCTTTAGCTTTCTTTATACGGTGTCTCGCACTAATCCCAGGAGAGGAGGAAGTTATCGTCAAAGGTTTTTAGTGGTTTAGATGAATGGGCAAAGCAACCGACCTGAAGGCCTGGATGACCACAGTTCCAAACAAGATGAACAAGGCAGAGAAGATGAGGGACAGAAGAGGCATCATCTCACGCCTGCAAATCAGCACACACGACTTAGTGCAACTAGACACACAATCTTTAACGGCAAATTATTACACGTATATACGTAGAATGGCTAAAATGAGTCTGAAATGAAATTTCTGCCTACCAGTTGTTGTGCAGAATATCATCAATGACTTCAGAGAGGTAATCGTACGATGCATAGATCCATCGGATCACAAACATCTATTGAGTGAGATCATTACATTAAGTACGGGGACTGATGCTTGATATTTAACACGGATGAGCACAAAGAGAACATACTGAGGCAAACTCGTTGTTGAGCTCGGGCAGCATGGCGTCGTGGACGAGGATGGACGGGTCCTTCTGCAGTCGCTCCAGCTCCTCCAGAAGACGCTGCTTGTCGTCCTCGCTGCCGTTCCAGGCCGTCACTGGCTTGAACAAGGCCTTCCCTGCAGCATTACGCCTCTCCAGGATCACCACCTGATTTTAAAAAAAAAAAAAAAAAAAAAAAAAAAAGCAAGTTGGTTCATTAATATGAATCTTGACTGATACACTTTTTATGGGGACATGAGCTATTTTAAGACCTGCGTGGTAGCTGGGGATCTGTCTTTAAGAGGCTGTAGCAGGCAACGTTTAAAAGCTAGAGCAAAAATCCTGTTATGGGAAGGGGAAATAACACTGGCATGGCCATTTTCAACGGGGTCCCTTGACCTCTCACCTCGGGATATCTGAATGAAAAAAAAAAAGTTTAGGGCAAAGGCCAAGCAGTTGTTGTTTTTTGCATGAAGTATAAATGTTATTTTCTTGGATTTTCGTACATTTTTAGGGTATGACCGGAAAGCTGAAACGTTGTGGTTACAATGAGCTCAATTGTATTTATTTGTGATTACGTTAGAGACCAAAGTAGCCGTTTCACACTGTGAGACCACTTTTTGAAACTTGACTCACTTAAGAAAATAACCTGTTGTAACCTCTAGAAGAGTCGCAGCATCAGGAAACTACAACCACAAACAAGAGGCATTCAGAGGATGTGTGGCTCCCCGAGGTATATTGACAATAAGTGGGTTTCTGAGCAGTTTCCAGAAGAGAAATCCAATTGCTGAAAAATGCAAATCTCAGAGAAATCTCCAAATGTCAATTTTTTAAAACAAATCCTCCTCAAGGTCTTACTGCTTTAAGTCAAATGTCTGTTCCAAAGACTTATTTAGAAAATAACATAAAAGTGGATTATTTAATGTGTATAGAAAGGAAGTAACGAGTAACGACTGAATATTAAAACCAATATGCTGCAGGTCCATACATTCCCCAGGTCTACTGTAGATTCACAGTGGGACTAGCGGCTGTAGTGTTGGACACGTGTGAGGGTACCTGTGCCGATGACTCTGCACTGTCCTTGTTCTGCGTGAAGATGTCACAAAGAGGTTGCTGTAGCCGTTGGTACACATAAGCAAATCTCACAACATCCTTGGTGTTGGTCGAGGCAAACGAGAGAAACACGTGGTTCCCAAAAGAAAAGGTCTCCTCGTCCCCTGTGATCAGCAGGACACAGAATCTGAGGGGGACGAAAGACAGAACGGTGACTTGGCAAATGCAAACTAGATATCTTTAAATGACTTCTACAACAAAGAAATGAATTAAGTGTTGGGTTCTCTTACTTTCTGCGTCTGTGGAACTGTTTGACAGGACAGAGCTCATCAAAGAGCTTCTGATTGACCAGCCGTGGCACGAGGAGGAATCTGTTGTTTGACATGAACTCATCGATGATTTGCTTTTTCATCCCTTTAGCCTGCAGAGAACAAACATAAAAAACAAGGAGTGAGGCAACGTTTCAGTGAACACAACTGCGTGTAGATCAGTGTATATAGAGAATAATAGCTCACTGCTGCTGTGCCCCACCTGAATAATGTCAGCGGGCTTGTCGATGTTCTCTTTGAAGACCAACATGGTCGGAGCGTAAGTGTTGATGTTGAACTGTTTCTGCAGGTTAGCCGTCTCTGAAAGGCCCTGGTCCACATAGCCAAACTGCAAGTAGTCCTTGTAAGCAAACGCTGTCAGCTGTGGAGATGCAGAGATAAAATGATTGGCATGTTTGTGTTAGATATGTAAAGACTGTCAGTGGAACCTGAGGTACATTTCACATAGAAACCGCAAGGCAAGAGCCTACTTTGTAGAGCAGAGGAACTACAGGCACTTGGTCGAACAGAAGCACGTGTGGCTTGTTGAGCTCATGCCAGCTGCTCAGGAACTGCAGGTCATTCTTGTCGGTGACCTGAAGTATAGAAAATGCACCGTGTTTTTGAATTGTGTATATTGTTCACCTACACTTTACTTATACATCAAGTATTTTAGTCAACCTCCATGTAATCACAAGACACGTACCCATTCCACAAGTCTCTGAGGAAGGAGGTCTTCCAAAAACTGCCTCAGGTGCTCCTTTGCTACGGCGTAATGGAAAAACGTCACTTTGCCATTTATGACTCCAAGTATTGATGGCGTGCGATGAGCCCCGAGGTGATTGGCTAGCCGTCTCTCATAGCCAACATCCACCACGCCGATCCCGACACCTGCAAAGAGGAGACATCCACACAATTTCATAGACAGCGGCGTTGCTGAATAATTCTGGATGATTTATTGGTTAACTCCAAACCTAGAGTCTCCATCTCCTGCACCACCTCCTTCCACACAGGCTCGATGTGGATGCAGCTGAAGCACCAGTCGGAGGTGATCTTTATCAGGTACGGCCTCTTGTAGCTGTCGGGCACCACGTCGTTCACGTACTGGTTAAATTGCAGCGTGTACTTGTTGTCGGCGAAGTCCCTCTGGTTCTTGCTGTTGAAGGGGAAGTTGTAGAAGGACTCGTCGAAGTAGAAGCTGTCGTGGCGATGGCCGTAGCGAGCGCCTCCGTACGGCTGGGTGTCATCGGTCTGCCCGTAACGGTCATAATTGGCCCGTTTTTCTTCACTGGACAGGATCTAGATTTGGGATAGAACGGATATCCGAATGGCAGACATCTTTAATTCTCTCATACAATATTGCATTGGGGGGGGAATGACTAACCTCATAAGATTTGGTAATCTTGATGAACATGTCCTCAGCACCTGGATTTTTGTTTTTGTCCGGATGCCTTGAGAAGAAGACGCTTATTAGTTAAGATTTTAATGAGGTTGCTAGAAACAGGTCAGTGTCACGTGGACATGTTTACCATTCTTTAGCGAGACGCTTATAGACCTTCTTGATCTCAGCCTGGCTGGCGCTCCTGGTCACTCCCAAGATTTTGTACGGGTCCATCTCCGGCCCGGCATGGGTCGCTCCTGTGAGCAGCACTGAGAGGACCACCACTACAGCCAGCGGCACAGACATCTTGGACGCTGCCATCACAGAAACCTTTTAACACATCACGAGAAAGTAGATTCATTCCGAGGACGATCAGACCTTTTTAAATCTCGACACAGTATTTAATTTAGCCGACTTGCTTAATCTAACACAGCCTTTCCTCCAAACTGACGCTAGCAGAGTAACGTCAATGATGACATGATGAAGACAACCGGGGTGGCTAAATAAAAATGACATTATAGCATGCTAACTACAGAAGCTAGGTAGTATATGTCGACTAAGTAAGACAGCAACAGACATTACGTGATCATAATCCTGTCTGGGCTGTGGCGTTAACGTTATTCCTCGCGGGTGGAAACGTTCGCACAGCTGTTTTTTTTTAATATTTTCATTGTGGTTCATTTTAGTTGCGTTGCTGTGGAGCCTAACAATCTCAACGCAGCTCTACATTCACCTCAAGCAGATGCAGTCCACTGGTACTACGCCTCATAGGAGTTCATGTTCTTCAGCTTGCTGGTTCACACTGATGCTAAAGACAGCGACATGCTCAGGGTGTGTTCAGCAGCATCACACAGCTCCTCCAGCGCGAGCTCACAACCTGCTGCTGCTGCGGAGCAGGAGGGGAGGGGGAGGCGCCCGGTGTCGACATTCATTTTGGGAGATTGAGTATTTAGTGGTTTCTTATGCTTCGTGTGCGTGTGTTTGGTTTATTGCTCGGTGCGCGGCGGTGTTTAGACTACATGTACTGTGGTACGCTGGCCGCGGGGCAGCGGCGCGCGGTAAATGAAATCAAACGCATCCTGTTTTTTTTCCCTCTGTGCTCTCTCAGTGGACCAATCACAGACGACGCTGATGTAAACACGGAAATGGCTCATGCAACTGAGCACATATACGATAAATGAGAAAGAAACTTATCATGTTTGTACATGAACACGGTTTCATTTCCCTTTCGCAAACGAGTGGGAGCGTTTTAGGATAACTACTGTTTCTGTAGTTACAGCTCTTATGATCACGTTACTCGTCTGCCTCCCTCACTGAGCTCGTTGTTGTTGAATTGAGAATGGAGGAAGTCCACAAGAAGATTCTTCAGCGCAACAGGACCAATCTCGTGAGAGACTTGCACCCATCAAACCTCTATGATGGCCTCCTTGAAAAAGGAGTGTTTACCCAAGACATGATCGATGAGATAAAGGTGAGCCAGCTGTGTAGATCGGAGCATCACGATGCAGGTTAATTATATGTGCACGTTGCATTTAAAGTGACGCTGGTACCTTGTTAAATGTGAAATACACTACCTGACATGATGTTGTACTCTGTTGTTTTTAAATTGTTTCATGTTATTTTGTGTGCTGTACAATGTACGAGGCTACTTGTGGCATTTAAGTCGTTTACTTTTTAAGTGTTTGTTTCTGTTTATTTATCTATTGTTCCCAGTTGGGCTTCAAGAGATCCTAATACAAAATCCATTCAAAGTCACACCTCTTGCCGTCTCTTGTCAGAGTGCTGGGACCAGACGTGACCAGGCCAGAAAGCTAGTCCAGGACCTGGAGACCCGAGGGAGTCGGGCCTTTCCGTTATTTCTGGTGTGCCTCGAGCAGACGGGCCAGCACGGTTTGTTAGAGCTTCTTCAGTGTGGGGCTCCAGCAGTTCAGCTGCAGCCTGCGACTCCCAATCAGGTTGACCTCCCTGTTGTCCCGCCTCTCCCACTTTGTAAGTGTGTGGTGATACTGTGGTGCATTTAATGAGTATTCATGTCATAACTGGCACATGATTACATTGATTTGTAGCTCTGCGGTCTGGTAATATTAACGCTCGGCTAATAATGTGCTCTTTGTTTCTTTTATAGCCCTTCCTACTGATGTTGATCAGCAGAGAAAAGACGTTGTCCCCGTCTATCCAACACAGAAACCCAGTCTTACTCCCAGTCCATGTAAGCTTTGTGATTGATTACCATGCTGGTAAGAGTCTGGTACGTTTCTGTGATGCTTAACACATTGTGATGCTCATGTCACAGCCCCTGAAAGGGAGTCCATGAGAACAAGGCCACCAGGCAGAATTAGACGGGACAGTATTCAGGTAAGCACCATTTTGTCTATCGTGCACTGTTCAAACCAACAGAAAGACAAAAGTTGTTGAAGAAGCCATCTTTGCTGAATCTCAGATTATATATTTACATCATGTCTCTTTCTCCGCTCCCCCCCCGTATGTGTGTCAGAGCTATAAAATGGATGCCAGCCCTTGTGGACATTGCCTCATAATAAACAACGTAGAGTTTGAACCCGAGAGTGAGCTGAGCAATCGCAAAGGGTCCAACATAGACTGTGACAAGCTGGAGGGAAGATTCAAGGCCCTCAACTTTATTGTGGAAGTTAAGACCAACCTGAAACAAAGAGTAGGAGTGATTTCTTCTGCTTCCCCCGTTTGAAATCACACGTAAAAGTTAGAGGTCACGGTTGTAAAACAGTTTTCTCTGCATTTCAGCAAATCAAACATGCACTGTCAGCTTTATCTAAGAAAGACCATTCACAATACGACTGCTGTGTGGTTATCATGCTGTCCCATGGGACTGAGGTAAGCCACGTCATGTATTCATCACTTTTTTTTTTCTCCAACCTGCTCAGGTTCAGATCCAGATGATTTGTAATGTATGCTCATATTTATGTTTTTGTAGGTGAGTCACAACCGCTTCCCTGGCGCCGTGTATGGCGTGGACGGACAGCATGTCCCAGTCCAGCTCATCACAAACTACCTCAATGGCCAGCATTGTCCGTCATTACAGGGCAAACCTAAACTTTTCTTCATCCAGGCCTGCGGAGGAGGTAACTACCACTGTTGAATCACTCAAAGTAGCATCCATAATCCAAAAAATGTCAGTGGTCTCATAGGGATACGTTTGCTTTTGTGCCTGAGGTGAGCGAGACACAGGATTCGAGGTGTCCCCTGATGAGGTTGAACCGTCCATCGGTGGAGCAGACGATCAGACGGACGCCATCCCGATGTCATCCAGCAGCGACTCTCTGAGCACGTCCGACGAACTGGACGCCAGAGCCACGCTGCCGACCCCGAGCGACATTCTGGTGTCCTACTCTACTTTTCCAGGTGTGTTTGCATCTCGGTGTGTGTGTTCGTGTGTTGCAATCATGCATTCACAGTCAGGGCTAGAGACAGATGCACTTGCTTGCCATGCATGTCTTCCTAATGCCTCATGTGACAAACGCAGGTTATGTTTCTTGGAGAGACCCCCAGGCCGGCTCGTGGTACGTTGAGACACTTGACGGTATTCTTGAGGAAAATGCTGCGACCGATGACTTGGTCACAATGTTGATGATGGTGAGCTTCTCTTATTATACCAGCGGAATTAGCTGGGGCTCTATTGAATCCCCGTCTCCATTTTGAGCTTTTTAGTCACCTGATTGTTATTGATTGTGCTTCTGTCCAGGTTAACCATGACGTCTCCCAGAACTCTGCGAAAGGGCTCTACAAGCAAATGCCTGGTTCCTTTAACTTCCTCCGCAAACTTCTCCACTTTCAAACCCAAGCATAGCGGCAAAGTTCAGCTTTGCACTTCTCAGTTTCACTTTCAGGGAATGTTAGTCTATTTCAATACCATAAGGCAGGGGTGTCGAACTCAAGGCCCGCGGGCGCCACGTCATTTAATGTGGCCTGCGAATCCACCAGCAAAAAAAAAAAGTAAAGTTAGAATTGATAATAAAAATATCCCCGTCGAAAATTCTGAGATAGAAAGTCGAAGTTATGAGATAGAAAGTCATAATAATGAGATACTTAAACACACAGTCATAGAAGCAGCTCTTTGGCTGGTTACTGTACACTTGACATGAAATGTATTGTGAGTACATTGAAGACTACTTTAAACGTGGCTTTAAAACATGAAATACTTCATGTGGGATTGTGCAAATGCACCCTTGAAAGGATTTTAAGCTTTGAACAAAGTTATTGTAATAACTTGTGTTTGATATTTTCTTTAATAGTTTGATCTTTGATTGAGTAATGTGGGTTTCTTAACCCTAAATTAAAAGGATTTAAGTTATAATAACAGAAATGTGCTTAAGTATATTTTTACATTTATATAACTGCATGTACAATATTTTTACACGTGAATAAACAATAATCAAATGCAGAGACAGTTATTTACCAATATGTTAGGAGTAGTTACATTTACACAGTCTTACATTTACAACTGGCCCTTTGAGGGCGACCGTGATGCTGATGTGGCCCGGAGTCAAGATGAGTTTGAGACCCCTGTCATAAGGCATGACTGATTTCTTGTGATTTTTCCTCAGCAGAGTTGTATGAGTTTGCTATATTGTGGTTATAATTTTACAACAATAATGTCTGACTGTACATTTCTATTGTTTGTCATGTCTTTCTATGTTTTTAATAGTTGGCAACTTTTAAAAATGAACTATTTGGGTGTAGGTGTCATTTCGGGGAGAAAATATTTACGTGCTGTGCGAATGTGGTTCAGGTTCGTTTCTTGTTATATTCTTGGTGTCTTATCGTCACAGCAGCTGTCAAATTTCAATCAATGTTCAAATCGTTCTCAGCAGATTATATAAAAAAACTTTTTTGACTCTTATTTCAAGTCTCGTTAATATACAGATTTTTATTTTTTTTTTTAATGAGGGTGGAGTGGAGGAAAGGCTGTTCATTGGCTACATACAGTATGAACCACATATGAGAGTTAAATATGTCCTCTCATTTCTTCCAGCATAATAAAATATGTACCCGACTCCAAGATTGTCGACAGTGACTCATTTCTGCAGCTGTGGAAAACAGCTGCAGAAATGAGCCCAGGTCCAGCTGTCAGCTCAAACTGTGCTACATAAACTTTCATGCTGATAGTTGGCCAGTGGTTGAGGGAGTCTGATCAAAATCTAAACTCCAGATATCAGGAAATAGACTAGAGATCACGAGTTCTTCCGTGAGTCTTTCATTTCCCTCCACTGCCACCAGGGGTCTCTATTACATTTGAAATGGTCCGTCCACTATCATGAACTTGTTTGCCAAAAATTGAACAAAGCTGTGTGACCATATTCTCTAATAACTAATCCGTATGTATCAGGACATGGTCTGTCGGAAAACATTTTATTGGAAATGCATAAGTCCCCGGAACGGCCTAGATGGAAAGATGTTGAAAAAATTAGAAGTAAATTAGAATAATTCAGTACAATATAAAGTACAATGGGTTTGTACAATGACAATTCTACACAGTTGCACACGATACATTTCCCCCCAATTTATTTACACTTCGTAAAACAATACACATCTCCTTTTCAAAATGTTTACATGTTTACAATGTCTTCATTGTATCAGTGGAGAGTCGGGCTCTGACTTTTCTCCCTTTGTCCCCCTGTATTATAAGAGTTCAGAGTGATATTCTTCATGCAGCCAACCATGTCTGGCCCTTGGCTCTACCTAGCTTTTTTTCTTTTTTTTGGACAAACCATTGCATACCAACTCCTCGCGTGTTTCGTAGCAGACTCATAGGCGCCAAACAAACACTGTTGACTGGAATTGTATGTGGCCATGTTCCCATTCTGGATGATATTATTGCCAGTTGTCTCCAGTTATCAGGACAAAAACATTGTGATTTTTGTACTCCTGCAGTTGTATTTCCTACTCCCACTTGGACTCATGTTGTCCAAAACAAGTCCTGCACGTGACTCTTTCTCTGCACTCGTACCCATTTAGATGATTAATATTGGTTGATCTCAATTCAGGTTGTAAATGCGGCATATTTTAGCTCAGAAGAGCACCGCATTCTCTTGCATTTTTAAGAACATGTCATTTGTTTAAATAGTGTTTGCCATTCTGCTTTGGATATTTGGGTCCCTCTGAAGCGCATCTATCTAGGTATCAATGACGATATTCACTTTAAGTCAATGTAAACAGGATAAGGATAATTCAACACAGTACTGTAGATCATAATATTTTATTAGGAATGTGTTTGGATATTGTGTGGTCATATTTATCTAATCACCCCTTCTTTATAGCTGTTGCTATCATATGGAGCTCCTCTAACCTGTGGAGTTCCCCAAGGATCAAACCTGGGACCGGTCATATCTATTATTATTATTATCTGTCAGTTTGGCAGCGTCGCTTATCATTGCTGTATCGATATCCAGCTTTTGCATTTGTGATATCTAGGGAGTTTTCTAATTAGTCTATTTTAAATATTTGTCTTGAGATTAGTTGCCTGGATGTGTATTTTTCTGCAGTTATAAATCACACCAAAGCTGAGTTTCTTGTCTTGTCCCCAAATCAAACCTTTTGACATTTTATATTAGCACACTGTTACCCAGTTTAACTTTGAGAAACATCTTAAGTTAGTTATTCAGTCTTGTTTTGTTCATTCATACAGCATTCCCAAAATATGACACTTCTTATCTCTCCAACAGCTCAAACTAATCATCTGCTGTTTTGTCTTCTCACACCTAGACGATTGTAACGCACTGCATCCTTGGTTCTCTTGCAGTTGCGAGCCTCCAGCACAGTTTGAAGCGCTTTGTATCCCTGGTTTTGGACAGAGCAATATTTCCATCAACATACAGCAATTACTTAAGAGAAAAAGCTTGCCTATGAACATAACCACACCCCGATTACATTTCCTCCAAAACATAACCATTAAGTAAGATATGTGCCATTTTTAGGAAAACTGCCTGCGCTGTGACACACGTACAAAAAGTGGCCAGATAGAAAAGGTATTTAGCTTTGTCAAGTCCATGTAACAAATACACAAGTATAACCAGTATATTAATGATATTACAATACAAGTAGTTAGTGTATTTACATTGTGTTGATGTTACTATTACTATGTTACTTATTATTTGGGGAGGGCTTAAAACAGTAGGAATATCCTATTCTTTTCAGACAGCTGCTCCTGTCAGCTTCCTTAGTTTCCCTGCTTGCGTGTCTGTATGCTTGGCCTGGGTCACTGAAGTGCTCTGTGTCATCCCTCATGGGTTTGTGATGTTATTCTCATTTTGCAGACTTCAGCCAGTTGACTAGGAGCCACTGGTTTGTTTTGCACAATAGACGTTGACTCCCCTCGATCCGAATGAATAAATAGCGTGCGTCAGTCTCACTGGTCATTTACCACAGACTTCTGCAGAACCATGCTCCGCCTCAGCACCACGCTCGGTGAGTATACTGATGACCATAATAATAGAAATATGGCTTTCTATTTCTGAAATTTTAAATGCAGTTTTGTAAAAGTTCAGTTTTCTTGCCGAACAAGCCTCTTGTGTGCCGTTTCTATTTCAGTGTTGGCAGCGGCCTGTGTGCTTCTAAGCCCAGGTAAGTGTGTGTGCGTGTGTGTGTATGTGTATGTGTGTGTGTGTGTGTGTGTGTGTGTATCGTTTGTGTAAAACTACTACTTTCATATCTGTTTTTAGGTGTTGCCACAGAGACGGTTGTCACCTGTAATGTCGACACTGTCCATCGCCTGAGCTGTGGTATGCCTCTTTTTCCAAACGCTTTCTGTCCGCAACGGTGCATTTTTATTCCCAGCACAATTAAGGATTAAGTGATCACTGCAAGCAGACAAAACCAGTGATGACGAGTTTACTCATTTCATAATTTCTCCCTCTTCGGTGTGTGATAGATATCGGAGTGATCAGCGTGCAGGCAGTACTGTATGGACGTGAAGACACAGATACCTGCAATAATGGAAGACCTCAGAGTCAGCTGGCCAATACAAAATGCTCTCAGGAGGGCACAACGGACGTCCTCATGAAAAGGTTCACATTACATGTACAGTAATAGAATGACAATATACCGTTTTTATTATATGTATTCTAAATGTAGCTACTAAGATATTCAAAAAAATATTCAAAAACATTACACCAGACAACAAAAACAACAGAACAATCATTTGTATTGTATTACAAGGAGCTGCAGTGCCATTGATTGCTTCTGTGTTCATTGTTTGACCGAAACAGGTTCCAGATCCCATGTACAATAGTTTCGAGTATATTCTTTCACTTCCTTATGTTGACTGTGATTAAATCATCACAGAATGAGGAAGGACTTGGTCTCCTACATTGAGCCATGTCACAACAATGGTGTTTTCTTGTGATTGTGCATTGAATCGTGCTCTTCATCTTCTCCCTGTTGCAGGTGTGATGGAAAAAGGGTGTGTGAAGTAAGCCTGAATGTCTTCGGAACTTCTGATCCATGCGTCGGCACCTCTAAATATATACAGACCAAGTACACCTGCATCCCCGCAAGTCAGTCACATGTCTGCATGAACTTAAAGCAAGGCTGCAAAAAGCCTAAACTGTACCTATGTACTGTCTGAAAATGTATTAATTGTTAAATGAAAGAGAAATTGAGATTCCAATGATTTTTCCTTTACTTGTTTCCACTTTTACAAGTTTTAAGCTTTGAGTGGTTTGGGGGATTCAAACAGGAGACATTATGTTCCCATGGAGTTCAATCAGTCAGCAGTGGGCTACACTTAAGTTCTGTTTTTATCAGTGTGATCTGATTCGAAAAGATCGCAAGAAGAAAAAGATGTGACTTTTGACAGAAAAAGCGTCAACTGGGCGTTAATAACTCATGTGTAATGTGATCCATGTTGTTTTGACAGTTCACCAAGTGACATGTGAGCACTCTTTGGCCCACCTGCACTGTGGTAAGATCACACCTTCTCTTCATTGTGTGTATGGTGCATTCAAATGAAAAACACAAGCTTTATTGTATTTTCATGTCACTTCATAACTAAATGTCACTTTGTCCGTTGACCTTTCAAAGCTAAATTTTCTTTCCTCTTTGCTTGCAACTCTTCCTCCTCTTCTCATCAGATCAAGGGCAGGTTATAGCAGTCCTTGGTGCCACCTATGGACGCTACGACCAGACCACATGCATCTACGGACGGCTTGCCTCCCAGATCCAAAATATTGACTGCTCAAGCCACATCAGCAGAGTTTCTGAGAGGTGCAGTTGCCCACTCTTTGACAATTTGTGCTTCAGGTTGAAGGCTGCTGAAATCAAAATCATGCCGCATTTAACTTTATACCTGCAGTGATTGCTGCAAGTTTGTGATGCCATCCACGTTCACGTATGCTCCAGTGCACGTTCAAGCCTGTATTCACTCATGTCACTCTGCCTCTACAGCTGCAATGGGGAAAAACAGCTGTATTAGCATAGTGGACAACTCAGTGTTTGGAGACCAGATCTTAAGAAACAATTTCCTATTGGCACAGATACATAAATCCAAAAGAATTGTAATTCTTGCGAGCCGAAAGAAAGTAAAATTGAGCCACACAATGTTTTCACTCATGTCACTCTGCATCCACAGCTGCAATGGGAGAAATAGCTGTACCATCAGAGCGAGCAACTCTGTGTTTGGAGACCCCTGTTCCGGCACTTACAAGTACCTGGAGCTGGCTTACATTTGTGAATGTAAGTATCCTAAAGGCCCATTAGGCTGGTTACTCTGATGAACAGCCAAATATGTGATGTACAATATGGGGTAGGACTTGTGCTCAGTTGCTTCAATAAATTGAATATTTTATGTTTTGTTTTTGCAGATCCTGGGGTCGCTACATAGCCACTTGCAGAGCATTAACATGCTGAAGTTTCAGTCATATACCTATCATCGCGCATTCAATCAACAATTTAAATCAGCAGCTGTAGCTGCAATGGCTCAACAAAGAAAATCACAAACCTACTGATGATCAAGATAAATTGTGTGTGTGTGTGTGTGTGGCATATGCAATTAAATTAATGAAAACAGGAGTACATTTTATTAAGTCTAAGTCAGACATTATGCTGCTGCTTAAAGGGAAAGTTACACTATTATAAGGTGATAGTAACACAAATCTTCCAGTACTACAGACAAGTGACCAGCCAGAGTTAAAGTTGATGTGAGTTGAACAAAAATGACCTTTCAGTACAGACAACTTGTCTTCAGTTTGTAAATAATACAAAATAAGTATATTTGGTCATACATTTTGACATATTGATCGTGTTTTCAGGAAGCAGCAAAAAGATTTACCAACAACAAAGCTTTCCAAACACATTCGCCAACAAGCAAACTGCATGTTGTCAAACCTTAGCCTTAATGTCCCACAATGTTAATCTTTAAAAATGACTTCATTTGACCGAGTGTAAAGATCAGAGGTTATCTACACCAACGTCTACCAGATGACGGTCAAGTTGCTGATGTCGTTGCAAAGGTCGGTCTTTGACGGGTAGACGACTTTCAGGTTTCCGTCCTGGTCCACTGTGCGGACCTGCTGCACGATCAGTTCGCTGGAGGGCTCAATGCTGGCGGCCGGGTCCTGTGGGCCCTCCGCTTCCCCATCTGACCCCGCCTCCTCCCGATGCTCCGCCGTGAACTTGTTCAACTCTGCCATTTTCTGTGATGAAACAGGGAGTGCACTCTAAATGTCCGATATGTGATTTGAAATTCAAAGCATTCATATAGCAGCAAACCACTGTCTGTCGCGTGTATGTTAGCGCATGTGAGGCCCAGTGGCTCTCTAATCCCCGCCGCTCTCCAGTTCCCCCTCAGGTTAACACTGTCGGCTCTGTTACCTGCCGGCTCAGTCGTCGCCATGTTGAGAGCCGCGTGGAGGCAATTCCTCAATCACAGATTTGCTTTGAATTTGGAATTGAGCACTTTAAACAATATTTCAGAACAGATTGTGTATAACTGCAGCAAAGACACTGGAATAAAAAGCACAGAAATCACTTTGATGCATTTCATTCAAAATTGAGATGAAAACTCCTAAAGAGACCTAAAAGTGAAGTTTCGTCTACAGACTCCATCAGGACATACAAGACTGAAATAAACTGAGCACTGAACTCTCCATGAGCTTTCCTCTAGCGCCACACATCTTCTCCATAAGGTTAACTTAAAACTATTGATTAATCCTGTTTATCTGCAAGTGACAGAGCATCCAACACGGGTGGTGTCTTTTAGTTTTCACATGAATAGCTATGACAAAAGGACCAGTTTTGGATTGAATTTAGAGAAAGGTAATGATGTTATAACCAATGGAAGCAATTATGAAAATAAAATCCAAGTTGTAATAAACTTCTTATTTGTTAAAAGAAAAGAGAGAGAAAAAGTGAAGCTTACCACAATCAGAGCGTCCATAATATCTTTACAGGTCTGCAGGCTGGCTGCACTCGTCACCTCCAAGAACAACTCTTTGGTCGTCTTCTTGATCTGTAAAGTACAATCAGCTGATCATGTAATTAATTATTTATATTATATCATGAGACGACAGACACAAACTGTGGGCTTCAGTAGGACACGGATTGATCTCAGACGTGTTATCTCCACCAGCGGATCATGCGATCAGTCGCAATTGTGTGTGTTTGCATCCGCGAGTGTGCACCTCTGTGTCTGTCCACGGCTAATCTCGCATTCTGCTGCAGCAAACTGCACAATACTTTGGGGGGCCAGTTATTGGCTGCGCGCTCAAGGACCTATTGTGTGTGGTGACTCACACTTTCTCAAAACACCTTTTACTGCCTGTTTTATACTGCCATTGACTGCCTATTGAGTCCTCACTCACTACTCGTAATCGGCACCCGGCCGATGGGGGTCGCTAGTAATAACACAGCCGAGTGCATCCCAGTCCAGTATCTATGCATCTACCATGTATGGGCCTATGTGCTGCTTGGATTTTGGCTTTGAATCTTTCCCCGACTTTGTCTCAATCCCCCCCTCCCTTCTTCTTAATTTATGCTCCTTCCAAACTTCTGGCTACATCATCACAGCCATCCAATGGTCACAGAGACCCAAGATGTGCCGGACAGTCTGGTCCCGGGGCCTATACACAAAGGGCATCCTGTTGCCTGGGGACATCGCGGGGGTGACATGCTGCCAGTCTCATCTAGACTCTACCTATTTTTAGGCCTCATGAAATACATGAATCCTGTGACTATTCAGGGGCATGAACCGAGTTTGATACAAAAGAGTATAAAAGTAAGATTATAAAGATTACAGAGCCAGTATAAATGTAAGATTATAACGATAATTATAAACGTATAATATAAACTCGGAACCAAAAGAATATAGTTCTTTTGGTTACGAATACATTTTACAGATAGATGAATAAACACATATGATAACCTTGGAGCAAATAATATAGTGGCAAACGCATACATTTTCCCTCCCTCACACAATACAGCAGTGGTTGTTGCAGACACAGGCTCTCTTCTGGGTGCACCTTTCTAGTCGGGTTTAGTTTTCTCTGCCATCATCATATTCACCGTATGAAATCTTCCCTTATGGAGGATGCAATTATGATAACCAGAAAGAAAAGAGATATACACACCTTGGTTTTCTCACTGTTGGTAATAGGAGGGAATGAGATGACATGTCCCTCTGCATCCACTAGGCAGGGATACATGGCTTTTCCCTGCAGAAGCTGCAGGTATCTGGAAAAAAAATGAAATAGTTGAGTGACAACATTATAAAAAGGGGTTAAGCCAATGTAATAGATGCATAGCTGATGATATTCTTTTGATGATAAACTTGAGAAAGATCAGATTCAACTCTGTCAGCCGTCAAGATTCTTTGATTTGAAGCATTTCATTCAGCGTGTGAGACACTGAGCTTGTAAAGTAGTTGCTTGGTCTTCCTGACTTGTCACTGTTAAACTGACAAAGTCATGAAGGACTCTACTTCAGCTTGTGATACCTTATAATGTGCAACAATTCATTGCAGGTTGAAATAAATCAGACTAAAGCTGTGGTCCAACATACTTATACTGCCCTCATGTGTTCAAACACAACAGCAAACCAAGTTATACAGATGTCAAGTTTTTGTTTTTTTTAAGTTCTTTTATTTTGAAAATCTGTTTGTGTCTTCAACACAACAGGTTTTAACCAAAACTTCTCTCTGTCAACTCCAGCCTGCCGTTAACTAATGTGGATCCATCAGAAACACTTTCCCCCAAGAGAGCTCACGTTGTACAGAAGGGTCAAAGGTTGTACTGACTTGTGGAGGCCAGTGACGTTCTGCCTCTTCTTCTGCTTCCTCAGCTCGTCGGCCTCGACCTGAAGGTGTTTTATCAGCTCCACGGCCGTCATCTCCTTGCGACCCAGCGACACAACCTGTCAAACATTGTGTTGTTTTTAATGAGATGTTTTTCTGTAAATGACATATTATTACCGTTTGGCTGGCACAAGATTGGGATTACAATGAGCCAACCAGTCTGCGTTTGCGTACCTTCAGCTGGGTAGGTGGTTTGACATCATACGCCAGTGGAGCTTTGATAAGTTGCACATCGTGAGTTGCAATGGTGGCGATGGTCCTTTTACCACACAAGTCATCATGAAGCTTTGTCTAGAAAAAACAACAAGGGGATTATTTTTACATTCTTCCATCGCACACGTATCAGTCACACCCCACTAAAAGTAGTCCAATGTATACCACCTTGTGAGGGGGTTTGTCCTTACCTGAGCCACCAGGAACCGTTTGAGAGCGTTCCCAGACTTTAGGTTCATGCCTCTGACCACGCAGCACACCAGGTACGGTCGGACATCTTTCACCTCCGCACTCACCGTGACCGAGAGTGCAGCGGGACTGTCCGAAACATGGAGGACCCTCACCACCATCTTGTTCAGTTCCTCCACCTCATCTTGGTCGTCGGCCCCCTTCTTCTTCCTCTGCTGCCTTTTCCCCTTTTCTGCCTTGCGACCCCCGTCCGCTTCACCTCCTTCCTCTCTTCCTTTTTTCCCCCTGAGGTAGTCGAGGATGGACTTGGTCTGGCAGCCGTTGACCATCTTCTCCAGCCGCTTGTCGTTCAACTTGTTGCCTTTGAAGTTGATCTCCTTCAGCTTGGCGCAGTCGCTCAGATCGGCGGGGATCTCCTTCAGCTTGTTGTTAGAGAGGTCCAGCACCTGAGGAGCACAAAACAAAGTGCAGATGTTGAGCTGAGCATCAGACACCCCTACGGTTTGAAGTGTTGTGTAAAGAAAAACAGACAAGAGTACACTGCATGTAAGCTGGCACAGATGCATACTTGCCAGTCTGTATTCTGTAGCTCTTACCCGCCAAACTCCGTTTAAAAAATGTGACATTTTCATGTTGCATTGCATATTAGCAAACGTGAAAACTAGTTAGCTCTAATTTCAGATATCCACAAAACATACGGGCAGCTTTTTTATAATTCGGCGTACATTTGATCCTCACTGAAGCACCTTTCTTAAAGGAAATCGCCACTTAAAGGTGACTTGATGTGCATACAAGAGCTGTTTGGGAGTTAAGTTGTACCCACCTTCAGAGCAGCTAGCTTGTGAACATCCCCACTCAGCTGTTCAATGGAGTTGTCAGAGGCGACCAGTATGCTGAGGAGATCCAGTTTCTCGGAGTAGAAGTCAGCGGGGAAGCCGGTGAGGCGGTTCTTGGAGACGTTGATGTTGGACAGCCTGGTGCACTGGGTCAGCCCCTTCGGCAGGACCTCCAGGCTGTTACAGCTCACATTGAGAGTAGTTAGCTCCTTCAACTGAGTGATCCCCTCCGGTAAACTGCTCAGGTTGTTGACTGAGAGGTCCAGGACCTTCAAGGACTTGAGCTTCCCGACGACATTGGGGACTGAGGCGAGCCTGTTCCTGCACAGGATGAGGCTCTGGAGGTTCGTCAGACGCTGGATGTCCTCGTGGATCTCTGTCAAACTCGGGCACTGGCTAACTTCCAGATAATTGAGCAGGGTGAGGGAATAGAGGACAGAGGCGAGTCCCCCGTCAGCGGAGATCCTCTCGTCGAAAGCTGGACCCTGAAAGACCAGTTCTCGCCTCTTCTCTGTCGCCGCTTTCTCTATTTCTGGCCAATTCTCCATGTCACCCATGCTGACTGCTGGACACCAGTTGTCAAGATAGCCGTGACAATACAAGGCACGACCCCGGTTTTTTGAATTTCAAAATAAATCAGCACGTTTTTATATGTACCGGTTTGTGCATGATAAATGTAGGTTTTCCTCAATATATCAACTAATTATAATCGGGACATTACTGGAAATGGATGAGTACGTCTGTGAAAACTTTAATTAATACAGAATTGTGAGCTCTCATTAGAGGGCCTCTGCATTTCTTCTTAAATGATTGCATTTTTTGTGTAATATTTATATCACGAGTCTCACATTTGCTTGCCCCTGCAGATAGTGTAAGAGCTAACACGTTTACGGAGTTACCTTTACATGCTATGCTTTTATTTTGGAGACAACATGTTTGACTTCCTGTAGTAGCCTGGTAGTGACAGACACGATGCTCTCTTCCGCCCAAGGACTGAGAAGAAGTTGTGAACGCGCATTTTCACAAGTATATTGAATGTGTATCGATTTAATAGTTGATTCAAGATGTAGGGAGACACATAATACAATCAGAGGTGGATCCCGGTAGAGTTGACTTTATCAAATAAAGGTTGATATCTTAAAAAAAACTTGCACGCATATAAAACTACATTTACGACAATCCAGTGCGAATGACGACGACCTTACTACTGCGCATGTGCGCGCTGGTTGTTGTCAGCGGTGGTTATGGAGATGAGATGGGTCGACGAGCTGTCAATAGTACTGTGATGTTCGCGGTAAGATATCTTTTGAATACTCGCCAGAAAACTGATATTTACTCTAAAATGTGTACCAACAAAATGTAGGATATGACGAATGACAGTTGTCAGGACAATTAGCTGGTCGAAATACCTTTAAAAATACAGCTAACGTGACTGACGACTAGCTCCGTCGGCTGATTGAGTCGTTCACTGTTAGCTAGCATTAGTGCCCACAACATGTTTAAATCAGTAAGAAGGGCTTCTCTACCTAAGCCTACCTAAGCCCCTACACAAGAGGCTAGTGTATGCCATATCCGGGATAGTTTATTTTACCAGGAGAGATGGGAAACATACGCCAAACTTAATGCACTAATATTTCCTGTGTCACAAGTAAACCCTTCAACACATCTTTAAGCCTCTAGCTGTCGCCATACTTACTGCGACACACACATATATTCAACACGTACGTGATGAATTAAGCACTGTGTAACATGACCAAACCAAAGTTTGTTTGTACTATATTATTGTATTGTAAAAGTAATGGACTGATATAAATACATACATTGTTTATATTCTGTTCTTCCTTAAAATGAGTCATTTCTGCGTAATTGCTGACAAGTTGTCGAGCGTCTAATAACAGTTTTGTTGTTCAACATTGCCTCTTTTTTTTCTAAGTGGTTAAAATAGACAGACTGCCATGTCCTTTCAGAATGCTCTTTAAACATTGCTGGGTACATTTGTCAGTACTAGTGCTCATACATTTCCTAAGTTTGGTAACTAACTGATACTTGAATATATATATATACGCATGTGTTTCTACAAAATCATTTTTCCATTCAGAAAAAGAAGCACAAGCACCCATACAAAAATACTGTGTTTGTCTATAATTGGCCACATTTTAATCTGGAGCTATCTGATCAAAGAATTAGTAAAGTGGACTGACCATCTGACCAGATATTAAATTACATTTTTCCGTTTTTAACAGTGCAGTACCTGGTAATATGGACACATTTCAGTCGGTAGGGAAAAAGAGGTTTGATACCAAAACATGAAGAGGATGTAGTTTACAATTAATTTGTCACTCATTGTCAGTAGAGCAGCTCTAATGAAATACAATTCCAGGCCTGTAGAATGAATATATAAACTGTGCAATCACCCTCAATATCATCTTTACCTTCATCATTGTCACTAATATAAATTTGTTTGCTCTTTTCAGATATTAAATATAAGATACATTTCTTATTTGTGTTCTGTCAGTGTCTGTCAGAGGGATGCCACGGAAGATAGGATTCATTGTGGTCAACTCTTCAAGTCATGAGGACAACTTCAGTGCCAAGGAGCTCATGGTCCACGCACCCACAGTCAACGGCTGGAGATCTAGCTGGTACAGACTCAGAAACCAGATGTTTTTGTTATTAAAGGAGAAACGCTGAAGCTCTTGTCCGATTAGACATATTATCACCATTGACCAAATACCTTAATATCAATACTGTGTCACCATCGGTGCTTTCACAAAATATTTACACAATGCAGATTTTTGATAACAAATTTTCAGTAAAAGGATATAATGACAAATTGAGTAAAGGCAAATAATAGAACAGCTAAAACAATCTGGTAAGTTCAAGAAATGATATCATTTTACTATAATGCAGCCTAACCAGGAAAACACACTTGAGCGATATTACGACATCCAAAATCTAAGAGGATATCTAGTCTATATTTGCCCTAACCTTACCTAACAACAGAGGCACCATGACATGATCTTCTCTCACATAACATACTGTTTTGCAAGCTGGTCACGATCAAGTTGGACAACTCTGAAACCCATTGAGTCCACAGACACTAAAGACACTTGATTGACCGAATAGGCCAATAGCTTTCACCACCATTGCCATACAGTACAGAAGTACAATTTATTTAAATGTGATGGTTTTGAACATTTGGCAGACGCTTGCCTCGTCTTTAAGGCTCTACATGGGTTTGCACCTCCCACACTGAGTCAGTTCATAAAGTGGAAGTATAGTGGCGGCAGGGCAACCAGAGGGGCACTGTGTGGTACAATACAGACGCAGCAAATTTGGGCCAACAGTCTTTTCAGAGAGAGCACTAATCACACTACCTCATCTCTGGCACCGCCGTTAAATACCCAATTGTTTTTATTTATTTGCTACTTTTGTAATATATTTATATATTTTATTGTATTGTATCGTGCTGTACTGTGTTGACCTGAAGTGCTTAATAAACCATTGTATTGATAACAGAAGGCCACTAATTGTAACAGCCTGCCCAGAGACTACAGATGAAGTTTAGCTCTCTAGCTAACTCTTGCACATCTACATTGAGGTGGAAACTGAAACTTTGATTAATGTGCACTGTTCTTGGTAAATATATAATAAAGATATATTACCACAGAACGTTACTTTCAAAAACGTGTCACATTTATTCAAAGCAGCAGTTTGTCATTAGTGTGCTCTACCTTCTTAAAGAAACTCAACATTGTGTGAATGAAACATTCCGCAGGCTGTGCTCCTACCCGCAGCACATCACCCTCCAGCTGGTGGAGAGAAGTAGGGTGAGGAAATTGCAGCTGCTGGCCCACCAGTACCTAATCCCAGCCAAGGTGGAGTTCCACATTGGAGACACCCTTCCTGAAACCAGCAGCACCTCAGGGTTCCCTGGGCAGCTTCGCAGACTCGGGTGAGACTGCAGACTCGACCAGGCTCAGTTTTTCTTTACTGCCACCCTTTTGCGTAATCTAAGTCTTGTATATGTCAGCAGAGGAGTTGAACTGAAAAGCAGCATTCCACCCCCAACTGCAGGTACGTGTCTTTGTCGGATAACGAGAAGACAGGCTTCAAAGCTCGGGAGCTGAAGTCAGTCCATGTCGACGCCATCGGAACGTACCTGAGAATAACCTTCCATCGGAACCATGCCAACCATTACAATCACCACAATCAGGTAGTCTGTCGGCCGGTAACAATGCACCTACACCACCATTTCACTGCCTCAAACTATTGTCTGATGCAGAAGACTGATCCAAACTGTGAGTGTTGTTCTACTTTGTTTGTGAGTTGTAAAAAAGACTTTTGGTTGATTTTGCCTTCCAGATTTTGCCTTCCAGAACTAATTAGCTTAATAAACAACAGCATCGCGTTTAAAATAAACTCACCAATAACAGCAGCTCCAGACGCAGCCATTTCTTTTCAAACATTTTTGTTTTGGATCATTTAAAATCATTCGTAGGCTATTTTTCTGGAATTCCCTCCCGTGTTTGAAACACATAGAAGTTATTTTGTCTGGAAAAATTGAATGGCGTGTCTGTTGTGTGTTGAATGACTGCTTTATGAGACACTCTTGAAAAGTCATTTCCTGATATCATCTCACCAACTATACCCTCAACTTCATGAGCTTCATTTGCATTTTCAATAGTGCATGCATGCAAATGATTAGTTGAATAATCATTTAGTTGATGGACCGAAAAATGTATTCAAATGTTTATCATGAGACATGCGCTTACGGGTACACACTCAACTGCCCCAAGATGCATTGCGGCTTTCTTTAACATTCCACTGATAGAAAAATCAGCCTTATCCTTCAAACTGGGCTAAATTAGTTCCACTATCACCCTCCCAACACACCCATTTATCGCATGCATTGATTTTTGTTTTTCTCTCGCAGTTCGGTTTAACCACCTCACCAACATCTGTTTATGATTTCAGGTTGCTTTGGTTGCCATTAATGTTCTGGGAGATTCTTTGGATGGCGATGCTTTTAACGCAATTGTAAGTTCTCTTCAACCGTCACTCATCACCGTATTTACATCTGCACAGCACTAGGTGTCGCTGTTGTGCTTTGTGTTTTTCTTTGAGACATTGCTGTGTTGTCATCAGTCAATTAGAATAGGGTTGATTGATGTTTCCTCATCCATCCGCTGACATTGCAGGCACTATGACAGACTTTTGGCATGTTTATAAGTATTCCTCACATATCGAACATCATTCATTTATTCCTAATAATACTTCTGTATTCTGAACATCTGTTTTTTCCTGTTATGGTGCTATTTGCTGTGTGCAAAGTTGTACATGTTAAATTTTCTTTGTATTTATAATACAAAGAAACAATACTAATGATGATGGACAAAAAAATAACAACACAATATGCAAATCCACTAAATAACTCCTGAATAATGTGAGAGTTGCTGATTGAACTTACCTGTAAGTTTTGAAGTAGTATTGATGGTGTATTCAATACTTTTATGAGAAGGATATACTGTGTTGTATGAGTGTCTTATGTAGTATTTATTTGTACTGATTGATCCATAGGACACTCCATAGGTGTGTCTATGTGCACACTTGTTTACCTGAATAGTTTGTGTGTGTAGGTGCATGTATACGTGTCAGGAATGTAGTAATGAGACACAAAGGGAGGGCAGTATGTAATCACACAGGAGGCCTTTAGTTAGCCAGTGTAATCAGATAGTCCTGCAGACAGACAGGTCCTGGAGGAGAGAGAGCACCTTAAAACACACACACACGGGCACAGAGACATGGAAAGACAAGGACACACACTTGCAGAGATTCCAGTGAACAGGCCGTGCATTGTTGCTCCGCTAATCCGACTCTGAGCACCTCCACCACAGCAGCGATCTCGCCTGGAGGGTCGGCTGGATCTCGTTCTCTCATGTGTGTTCGTGTGAGTGGAAGTTGTGTTTGTCCTGTGGAGGGACGTGGACAAAAGGAAGAGTGTGGATACAAAAAGAGAAGAAGAGCTTGTTTGAGTTTGTACCACTTTAAAAGTATTGGTTCATCCAAATTATGAAGAAAAAACACCCCACATCTTCTCACCGACCTCTAGGGGGTATCCAGCCACGCAGGTCTGTCTTTGCACTCCGATGCAATGGAGGTGAATGGACTTGTATTCATGGGGCTCACAGCACCAAAGAAGTGTGATGGTTGATGGGAAACAGAAGTGTTTTCACTGTCACAGAGGTGCTGAAGCTGCCTTCATGGCCTCCAATAACTCTCCATCACACCGTCTTATCCTTTCAATGATGCTTGGACACAGCAGACATTTTGACTTGCCGTAGCAGGAAAAGCACAGGTGTCACTAATAACATTAACAATGGCTCTGTTGTGTTATGGCAAGCCACCGACAGCGTGAAGCTGAGCCAGCATGCATAATACCAGGACCGTGAAGCAGCTAAATGGAATGCTGCCATCATTCATTTCATTAGTTACACCCGTGCTCTTCCTATTCCAACATGTCAAGATGTGCTGCAGGAAAGAGGCCTCGACCCGACCGTCGTAATGGTGTTGTATTTTTTCAAATACTCTTAATTTGTTAAATTATGATCCCATAGAGCAGTTACTTCTCAGAAAAGAAAGACAAAGAGATGTATCAAACAACTTTATCTTTGCTGCTGTATATCACTCCCACCCCACCCCACAATCCATCCATCCAACATCTAAACCAAGAAATGAATTCAGATATTATCGGTATAGGTGTATATGGTGGAGGGGTCTCTCTCATAGATATATGTTGTTTTGTGAACTTTGAGATACCCTGTTACGCTGGATAATTCAAACAACACACGGTTTTTATAGGGGCTATATATTTGCTGCAAAATAGTTCCAGAAAACTGTTCACTGCCTGTGGATTTGTCCAGAGCAACAAGGTAGATTGTTTTTTTTAATGCTGTGCAAAATGCAGACTACATTTCATACATCTCTATTATAGTGGAGTGGAGGCAAAAAGTCTTTGCATGCCATAAAAACATTTGCTTAAGGCCCGTGCAAAAACATCGGATCTAATTTGTGCCAATGACACTTCAAAATAGGTGAGTTACATATTAAACCATCAGTTAACAGGTAAATTAGGTTAGAAAATGACTATCTATCACAGTTTATTTTTTATTTCCTCCTCATAGTGTTCCATTGTATGAGGTGGTGACACACTTGGCGTCTCTTTGTCTTTGTATGAATCTATGTTAGCTTCTCCTTTCAGTCAGAATAACTACATATTTTATGATTATTGACAAGTGTCCACTATTGTTCGAGTTCCTACTTATCACTGGCTAACAGGAAGTTCATGTCTTTCATTGCATTAATTGTGGTTTGGTGCTCATGAAGTAATGCAAGAATGATGTCATCAGTAGACACTGTTTCCTGTTCTAATAATGATTGGACAGACGGTTCCGGTGATAGCCGTGTACGCAGCAGATTACAAGTCTCCACATATGTATGGCCACAGCCTTGAAGTGCTGAATAATGATTAGCTTTTCATTAATGTGTGTGTGTGAGTGTGAGTGAGAGTGAGAGTACTTGTGTTATTGCCATTTTTAAGGTCCAAGGAGTTTTTGTTGAAGTCATTCTGGCTGATCCAGTGTTTTGATTAGTTTTAGGTTCGGGGAAGGGTTTACGTTAAGGGTTACCTTAAAGCACAGTAATACAAGAGTATAAATGCACGTGTGTGTCATTTTCCCCCATCTGTTTACCCCCAGCCAAGCAGAGAGCAGCTGATCGAACACTACCTCAACAGTACCCAGCTGGAAGCCGCCTTGGACACGACCTTCATGGGGTGAGGCGAGGCCATTGAACCCGGGTTTCTTTGTCTTGTGACAATAACATTGTTCAACAAAGCCATTTAGTCTGGGAGCTAACCAAGGCATTCAAGGTCACACGCATTTGAGGAAAATGCAGGTGGCAGTCCGCACAAAGAGGAAAACACATTTCGAAATATTCCTTCTTTTTTTTAAACCCCCAAGGGACGTTTCACCTCAGGGTCTCACTCCTTTGGGGGTCGATCCATGTTTTTCCCCTTTGATCAGGATTTGCACAATACTGAGCCCATTTAACTGAGAATGAAACGTTTTCAGATCTACTCTGGCATCATCTCAAGAGAATTTAGACAGTAAATCAGCTGTTCTGTTCTCGATATTCAACGTGTTTTACAAGTGTAACAAGCTCAGACCGGATGTGTAGAAAGAAATGTTTTCAGTTTTCAAAGGTTTCAGTTTGTTGTTTTTGTTGTCCTGTTTTGCACCCAGTAAATGTGAGTCCATCTCCCCCTTGGACGACCTGGCCTTCGACATGTACCAGGACCCTGAAGTCGCCCACATCATCCGACTCCTGGACCAAAAGAAGCAGGACATGGTCCAGCAGGAGAAATACGAGCAGGCCAAGAACCTGAAGCAGGCCATCGCAGACCTGCAAAAGGTACCGTGGCTTCTGGGAGGGGTAGACAGAGGGGTAGTATGTAGTATGTACAACAACAACTACTAGGATGTGCTCTCTCTCTATCAATGAATTACTCGCAGTCTTAATAAATAATTCATGTTTAAGGCCTTCAATGATTAAAAAGGGCTTGAATACAGTTATAAATCTAATATTAAGCTAACCTTAAATAATCGCCCACCGGCTCCTGCTCTATTCTGACCACACAGACAGGAGAAGGGTCTCAATTTTGTCCTGTATTTCTTGGCAAGAAAGCCAAGAAGCACTTTTCACAAAATGTTGAACTATTCCTGTTAGCCACTCATATGACAGATTTTACATCCAGTTATTTTACCGTAACAGCGTTTTAAGGTTGGACCTCAGTATTTAGACAGGCAGTTGCATTGTGTTAATGGGGTTTGGAGAAAACACCTTTGTTTCAGTACAAACAAGTAGTGCGTGAACACACAGGCGCACAGACACACATAAGCACACATGTAGTAAATATCGCTGGTTACTGGAAGTATTTTACTTCCAGTAAAAGGCAGGAGACTTCCTGATTTGGAAATAATTCCCAGGAAAGTACCTGGATCTCTTCTCCCAGTTATGCATTCTGGACCGGTGGGGAATGTATAATAATCAAAGAGTATCATATCTATATACACACTGAAGGCGGTCGCACTGCATAATGAGCATTATGACTTATGATAGATTATGTACATTGCTTCTGTACTTCAGCATTTTGAATTCAGTGCTTTTACTTTTAGTGGAATATTTTGACATTGTAGTATTGCTACTTTTCTTAACGGAAGAATCTGAATTCTTCTTTCACCACTGTTCTGGACTCCTTTAAGCCATGATACCTTAGTTGGTTTTTGACCGCTCTTTTTGACTGATGACCAAATGTATCGTGGTAAGTAAATAACGTGCAGAAATGATCCTCCACCCACTGCCACTGCTACTGAAAAAAAGTTCTCTCGTGCAAATCTTCCTTTTACACGGTGTAACTTCACCACTGTTTGTAACAGTAGTTGTTAAACATTGTTCAAATTCCTGTTAGCGACCTCCTTTGTATACAGCGTTACCATGCTGACCATGAATTCTTAATAAGCTCAACAGCTGCAGTGATGGTCCTGTGGTAGGTGTCTCTTCCACAAGCCTTTCTGTAACCAGATAACACACGAACACAGACACACACACACACGAACACCTTGTTAGCATGGCATATTAACACTGCAGACAAAAGCAGTTGCCAGGGTAGTCATGCTGAAAATCACTTGTCATCGCACCCTCAGGATGTCAAAGGATGTTTTTTTGGGCGTCATATGATATCTGAAAACACATGACGGTTGTCGTGTTCATTGCACCACTTGATTTTGTCCAAAGGAGTAAAGAATCACAAAGTGTTGATGTTCAGGCTGTGTCACTTGGCACCTTGTTAGCAACTTATTACAGCTTCATGTCATTTCCTGACTTACTGGAAATTTCCAGCCCATAAATGTTAGTGATTCACCATGTGGCACACTTACTGTTATGTGGCACTGGGGCTGTGTGGGGCTCCAGTTGGGTTTAAAGGATGATTCTGGATATTTGCAATCTGGGTCTTATTTGTGTAGTTTCGGCCAATGTTTCTATTTTTGATCATAACACTGTGCTCACCAAAGTAATTGCTTTAAATTGCTCTGGGAACACAGTGACATCAGATAAAGCTGATCCAAGGCATCAAAAAACATGAACATTTGTACGATCGGACAGGTTGTAGACACGCTGACGACTGAGCAAGAGTATCTAAATCACTTTACTCAGAGATGAAACTGAAAGTGAGCGCACCTGCAATTGTTGTAAATAATCCCTCATCACGCAGGAAAACTGTAAGAAAACTACAGAAAGTGCATTAGGTGGAAGATGAACCAGGAAGTTGAGCAGTATACTGTGATGGGTGTTGACAACTCACAGTTTGGGGAATAATTTCACCATTCACCTTAGTTTTCTCTTCAAAATAAATTTGGCTAACGCGTGACTGCACATACAGTATATCTTTCCCCGTTAAACTTCTTCTTAATAATGTCACTACAATCCCAGATGTCAGCAATTAGCTTGGTGAGTACAATGGTATCGTTACCAACAAGCATGAAAATAAAATAAGATCACCCTTTAAGAAAAATGCCAAGAACACCACGAGAGCGGATGGAATTGTATTTAAGATCAGTGCCAAAGCAATGCGCATAAACAGCGGACAAAACAGTGTACAGGTAATGGAAATAAATCCCTTAAACTGTCAGCAGTGCTACATAAAGATAGCAAATATCCAATCGACTTTTGGTCAATCTAGGCTCACACAGACATAAATTCAAGCCATCATGAGACCATCGATACCGTATAATAGCCCTGCCGCCATGTTTACCTGTGTAAGCATACAGTAAAGGGTCAGTCTGTCTTTACCTCTCCTTGTCCCGGGCTCTTACAGGTGGGCGAGCGGTTGGCTCGATATGATGTGGAGAAGCGGTGTGCGATCGAAAAGGAAGACTATGACCTGGCCAAGAAGAAGAAGGAGCTGATGGAAGAGTACCGGAGGAGCGTCTACCAGCAGCTGGAGGTCCACAACCTGCTGGACATGGCAATGGTCAGTCTTCACCTGTTCACACCGTTTGTGTGATGGAAATGATACATTTTTATCCACGGTGTTGGTGTTCATGAGTCATTCTGCCTCAACTGAATTCTGTTCTGTCCCTCCGTCATGTCACCAGATCCCACGGGCCGCAGATTCATCCTCAGCAAAGGATCCTCCGGCCCTTCTGCCTTCTCCAGGTCGCCGTTCAGTCCCCATCAAGCCCCTTGGGTCCACAGACACATTCAGGGAGGGGAAAAAAACGAACGCTCCTCAGAACCAACAGTCAGACGCAGAAACTGTTGTGGCCAAACTAAGCAGCCAACCTGACACGCCGTGCACCCCTGCTGCTGTACCCAAGAGAGACGTAAGTGACACTTTTTTCAGATCATGCAACACATCACAACATCTACACTCAGCATGAATCACGACCAACACTTACAGACGCTTAAAAAAACATAACAACTTGTCTATATTATAATATTTGTTGAAGATGATATGGATTGGAGTCTGGACGGCCGTACCAGTAGCTTGTTCTGCTTGAATGAAATTCCTTTATTGTTGTAAGAATGACCGTAGCCGACAGTAGCACCTTGGGAACATGTCCGGTGCCGTAAGCCGCTGTAGTGTTGGAACACGGAGCACACGGGGAGATTATGACAAGCGGGGGCTTTTATGCTTTACTCACTGCCTACTAAGACTGGTCCTACTGCAGGTTTGGGTTTCGCTATTTAATTAAAAGCGGGCAACAGTTGGCTGACTCCGGCGGCTGCCAACCTGGCCTCAAGGCAGGGCTTTGAGCCTTGTGCGAGGCAGCAGGGTGCCAGTTGGCCCCGGGGCACAGGAGACAGTGCTGACTGTGCGGAGATTGGGTTTGTATAGGTGGGGTTAAACGTTCATTGTCATCATGATGTTGAACGATCGACCTATTCAGTGAACAAGTGAGAGTAAGTGAAAAAAAGAACGGGGTGGAGATGATACATTTTTTTAAATGTATGGACAGACTTGAAAGTGTAGATCAGTTTTTTTTTGAGCCTTTGAAAATGATTCTGTTATAATTCTTTAATTAAATTAGCAAGAAAAATGTGTGAAGTTGTATAATGTCTATATTCTAAGCTTTCAATACCAATGTTGTCTTGTGCCGATAGGTTACCTGTGTGCCTTATGATGAGAGGCCGCTACCAGCCTTTCTGAGGAAAGAGCGGCCTGCGGAGGCCACTCTGAGCCCTGAAGAGCAGCGCTCCCCCCAACCCGCTGCTCAAAGGTCTCCACACAGCCCCGAGATGAGTGGAGAGCCAGAGCCCCTGACGGAGAAGGACCAGAGAGAGGCTGGCCTTCCACTAGAGGTCTATGGAGAAAGCCTGGTAAGAAAATAAGCTGGAAACACCTGGCTTTCTAAGCTAAATACGTGTTTTAATTTCTACTTCTACATGCCGATATGTACTCTGAAAAAATACTTTTTTGGTATCCCTTCAGGAGATTCTTATGTATATGCCAGATATTATCGCCCTAATTTATCTGTCCCAAATATCAACCCCTGAGAAAAATTCCAGCTCTGTAGCTGCAAGATGCTCATTTTTCTCATTCCATATAGTCATTTGATCCATTGATAATATAGGAAGTATTGATTAGCACAGCTTTAAGGGATCCTGTTCAAAAATGTGTATGATAATTCAGGTATTTTGGCAGATATATGGGTTTGTAATATATGATCTCTATACAGTTCACAGCAAATCTCTATCCACATCTCCTGTAATACCTATACAACTGATACTTGCGCTATCTTTCCCGCCTCTTGGCTAATCTGTTGCCCTCTCTTCTTTTCCAGGTGGCTGGGGCGTATTCCAAAACCTGGTCCCACAGAGAGGAGGCTCTCCTGGCCGTGCACAAGAAGCTTTCGGAGATATCACCCGCCACCCCCAAGGAGGAGCTGAGAAACGTGACTAGAGCTGCAGTCTTCCTGGTCAAGAAGGCCCTCCTGGATAAAGTGTCATCTGTGAGTCCCGTTCCTCAGAAGACAGTGGTCCCGGTGTGGATGCTGTGAACGTTAATCGAACAGAAACCTTCGCCGGTAAAGCTGCCCTGTTAAGGCGTTATGGATATGTTTACTTTATCACTGTCAGAGTCTTCAATAAATCACGTTTTCTGGATTAATTTTACAAACAGAGCCAACGTTCATGTAGTCAAATCATATGCACACCCTTAACAATGTTGACCCTGTCCCAAATGCAACCCTAGTGCTCTCTCTCTCCCAGAGCTGACTGCCTTAAACAAACAGTTTTGACAAGGATGGCCTTGTCACCCCTCTCTCGTCTACAGCTTGTATGGTAATGAACGGAGTAGTGCCACAATAATTCTCGTTTATTTATTTTTCTTGCCACGTTGATAAACAGAATGCTCCGTTAAGAAGTCAACTGGTTGATTTGCTGCTCCACAAACCTGCTTCACTTATTTAATACTCCTTTCTCTGCCAACTCTGTGCTCTAATCTGCATGTCATGTCGTCCTGGGTCTGAATGTAGCCCAGGGTGTTTTGTTACATGTTTAAATCTGCCTCGTAAACGTACATTTCTAAAACCAGCTAGTTGGACTCTTCGCTTCACTGATTGTCCCTCTCCCTCTGCATACTCGAACCAACTCAAAGTGGACATTGCCAAGTCGAGCCTCTTTGCTAATTGACGTCACCCTGGTGCTAGCCTTTCTTGGAAAGTCCACTAAGGTTGGAGCTAAACGTCCACTGGCTCTCTCCTTAGGTTTTCCACGCCTCCTTGAAGTTGCTGCGGCTACTGCTGAGCCAGCTGATCCCAGGTCTGGGGCTGGGCCGGGCCGAGGTGACCAACTGCATAGACCAGACTTGGCCCAACCTGCTGGCCAGGACTGGAGACTCAGCGAGCCGCCTCCGGGGCACGGCCAAAGCCTTCATCCAGGTATTGTAACACACTGGACTGACAGGTTTGTGTGGCACCAGTGGCACCAGTTGATTTCCATTAAACCCTTTTAATAAAATAGGCCATGATTCATATAAGGGTGGATCTGTTATGGTGAGGGATTTTTTAGCAGTGTGAGAAAGTCATTACATCACAGCTAAATGGTGAAGTGATGAATCAATGAATGTCTTAAATCTAATGCTTTTGTTCAGGTTAAAGCAGAACATTATGCCTTTACTGAATGATCTTTTTCATGATCGATTAATTTGACATGTATTTATGAAAACAACTGAATCCAACACTCAATTAAACTTTACGCCAAAGGCAAACTTTGTAAAAGATTGACCGTGTGTACTTGGTACTACTGTATTGTTATTTTATTACTACTACTCGGTTTATTGAACGGAAGCCTTCCTGTCTGGCCATGGGTGCCATGTAAGAGGTGACTCTCCATGTTGTTTTAATACAGTCCTCATTGAATTTAAAACACCTTATAATTACACAATGTTGGCAATGTCCTCAACGTATAGAAACAACAAACTGTTACATTATACAACACTTAAGAAATAGTATATTGCAGAAATCTTTCTTAGTTGTATTGTCTCATTTCAATTGAACCCTGACATTGAGAGTTTGGCATTTCTGCTTGGTAAATGACTTAAACGGTTAATACATTAGTTGTTGATCTGCTATTTGATTAAAAGGGTAATCCTTTGTTGATGTCAGTAAAGTAATAATCTCATTTAATTAATAATCACATCAGCTAAATACACATAAAACTTCCCTGACAATGACTTCTGTGCCCCTGCAGGTCAAATTCTATTCATTTGTTTACTTAAGTGGGTTTTTATGTGCATGATGAATGGAGCATGTGTTTGGCTCCATTCAACATGAAATCAGTCTGATGTACAGCAGTCATGGATCTGCATTCAAAATATGCCTTAATTACACGCTCCAGAGTAAGCAAACAAAGAGGGAATATCATGCGTGTGTAACGTGTGTGAAATCCATTCCAACTTCCCTCCAAGGGCAAACGTTAGTAAACACTGCCTGCACGTGTTTGTTCTATATCTGGGATTTTTGGATTGAGGCAACACTTTTAATTGCAATATACTACTTTATCTCTCAGAAACCAGTCGATTATTCCAAGAAATATGCACCACCCATAAAGAAACGGTCAAGAGAGTGGTTACATTACAAACAGTCAGAGAGACTGTGTGTCTCCGCTGGAACACTGAGTTCATTTCAGCGAGCATGTGCAGAAGCAGGACAGATATTTATGAAGACACGATTATGAAACTAGTACTCTCACAACAGAATGAGCTCGTTTTTTTTTAAATTTTTACAGACATTGTTCCAACAGCATAATGTAAAGTCAAGGCCTGGGATGCCTTTTGTTGTTTTCACATGGCTACGGGCCCCATTGAATTGGAACTTAGTGATGACACTATAAGAGCCACATGTAATGTTGGCACTGTATGCTGTAGATAGAAAGAACAACGCATGCCATTATCTTAACCCCCAGAGTTTATATAGATGTCTGTATATGATGAATGAGGTTGTGTGTGTTTAAGCAACCTGCTGATGCAGCGAGTAGCTGAACCGGGGGCGTATGCGTCTTAGCCCTTAGTTCTCAGATTCAGACAGTGTTGTTGGTTGCCGTTTTCATCTAATTCAATAATTTAATAAGGGCTTAAGCGTCCACCACTCAACTGGCTGAGAGGACAGTCGCATGCATATACATGAACAAAGTAATCAAATGGAGTGTGCCTATCGAGGTGTGTTTACTGTTTTTAAAGGAGCTTGTCGCGTCTTATGTTAGCTTCCCTAACATGACATTGACCTCAGGGTTGGATTCACTGGCGGGTGAGACCAGAAAGTATTACTGGGCTGATGGATTGATTGGTGACTTTAATGTCCAACTCTCTGTGCACATTGCGTAGTGTGCATTTGCTATAATCTGTTGCGGTGTAGCTCGTGCATCGGTGTGTCTGATGAGTAATAAAGGGATGGAGGTCTGTATGAGCTACAGTAGCTTCTCTTTCAAGGAGTTCAACTTAGAGAGTTAGACAGTTACCATGAGTCCCAGCCCTCTGAAATCATGACTGAATGCCTCTTTGTATGAAGACAAATTACATGTTTGTTATTTTTGTGTGTGTGTGTGCCAGATTTCCGACATACATTCCTCTCACTTGGTGAGGTCAGAATGGCAAACAACTGAGAGAAGTTTTTCCAAGAAGCATCCTCGTTCTTACTTTAATTGTACACTTGTGTTCTCTGTCATGACTTGTCTCTCGAACAGATGCTTGTGTTGAAGGACAGCATCGCACAGATATGTTTACTGTACAGCACACATATTAGGATACTGAATCTACATTGCATGGCTTTTACGCTGTAAGTTCCAAAGTCATTGTCTCTTTTCTTTATGTCCTTCTTTTAGGAAATTGCTGTTTTGAAGGATGTACGCGCTCTGCAGGTGATCCCCGGTGAGCTGGTGAAGCCCTTCAAATCCAGCTTCCCCTCTCGTCTGGCTCAGAGTCGGGCCGAGCTGCTCCAGAAGCTACTCGCTGACCTGGGTACAGAACACTCTGGCTTCACCCTGGACAATGTCATGACGGTAAAAGACCTAAATCATGCTGAATGCATCTATATTCTGCATCTGTGTTTTCTCTGGTAGAGAAGTCGAGAGAGGCCGAAGCGGAACATTTCTGCTTTCTGTTAGCTCAAGGTCACAAGTTGATGATCTTGTGAAATCAACCTTTTGTTTGCTTTGGTTGCTCTGGTTTTCTTAAATCTTGAACATTATTCCTTTACATAGAGGGGAAACAATTCAACCACAGCGGCCTTCGGCTTCCATACTCTTTAATCTTTTTCAGGGGATTTTTAACTCTTTTAATCTCACAAATGAATTTTAAATGTTCTAAACATTAGCAGCAGCAGCCAGTAAAATGCCACTGTAGGTATCTGCGGTCACAGACTTCAATACTAGAGCTGTTAACAACTACTACTTTTGTTTTTGGCAAAGTGTCAATTTCATCTCTTCCCAATCTGGAAATAGCAATCACGACATATCCTCTATAACATGATAGCACAAGTGCTGTATATAGATACATAGAGTACAGTGCCTGTATTATTCCACATAGCAGTAGGCATCCATCAGGCTGATTTTCCATTACATTTGGCTTAGATATTACACTGTGACTAACTGAAAAGGGGATCAGTCCCTCCCTGACTTTCTGTGGCCATTCAGTTCCAGCCAGACAGCATGTCGGTAACCTCCGGTCAGCTGAGACAATGTTGTCACCGTTGGCATCCACTTAACGTCCCCTGCACTCCTCTGGTTTCCAGCAGTGACCTAATATCTACGTGCAAACTATACAACTGTTGACCAGGCCGGGCAGGGTCCTCCCCTCTCGAGTTTACGGCCGGTCCTCCACCCCATCCCCCTTTCGCTCAGCCCTCTTCTTGACTCTGCAAATCTTTTTAACAGCGAGAGCAGATTGTTCGGTTTGTCCACTGAGTTTCTCCACCCTCTGAAGCCACAGCCACACAGATGGCATTGGGTGGCCTGTTCTTTGCATGTCCGCGCATGCTTGCTCAGCGCCCGTCGTCTTTGTATTGGCTGCCTCCTGTGTTTGCCTGGGAAACATTTCCAGTCTGGATTGAGACGTGACAGGAGGGCTGTGCTTTAGTCCACAGCCTGCCTTTTCTCCGAATTTTCACATTAAACAGTCTGATGAGAAACATGTAGGAGACAACAGGTTTAGTGCAGGTGGTGATGCAGGAGGAGGGCTTATAATCAAATCTTCCCTTCAAAATAAGTACGAAAATACATGCAACTCTATACAGATTTCACCCCATCAGTATTTATGTATAAACCTGCAAATTCCATCACGGTGCCTTTGATCTAGTGGTAGGAGCCACCAAACACAAACAAAGAAGTTGCACAACAGGAACAGCTGTTGTATAATTAATTCATATTTAATCATTTAGCTGTTGCAGCTGTCCCCAACCCACCCGGACGTGGACCAGCACCTGCCCACAAAGTGTTTGCCCATGGGTAATGGCAAAAAAAACACCTAAAAAACAGAATAACAAGAATAAAACATGAGGGTCTATTTGTGCGGTAATCTCTCTCCTGTCACACCCACAACACACTCGCACGTGACACGAGGTCATCGATTTCATCATCGTTCACCACAAAGAGGATCGGCCCGAGCCACTAGGGCTGTACCGAATGTCATTGTTTATATTCAAAGCTTTTATTGAGGTTTTTCTAATGAAGCTATGAATGTACGTTAATACAGCTGCTTGCCTCCCTTGTTGTGCGCTGGCAAGCGGGAGAGATTTTAGGCCACAGTGAAAAAAAATGTTGTTTTTGAGAGGCCAAACGCCTAAAAATATGGATTGAAGGAGATTATTTTATTATTATTGAGAGATAAAAACATGTGAATTATGTAAATGATTACATCTGTTGACTGACTAAGACAATTATAGAGACACAACAGCTCTCGCAGTGTGTGTGTGTGCGTGTTTGTGTGTTTGAGAGGGGGAGTGAAAGTGAAAGAGAAGGGGGAAGAGAAGCTGGAAGGTGCAATCTTATGCAATATTTCTGAAAGACTTTCTGCCAGAAAACAACAAAACGCTGGCGGTGCTTTTCAACTAGAAGCGCTCGGAGTGTCCACACAAAAGAGTTGGATCGCTCAGACAAAGAAACCGCTACGGACAGCCAAAGTTATTACAAATAATTATAATAATTCAATGTCATGAGTGACGCTTCGAAGTTTTGAACTATTCGGGACAGACCTACGAGCCACGCCACCCTATTCCAGCAGTGGAAAGGCCGTGGATGTGTGAAGAGAAAGGGAGTGAGAGGGAAGAATTTAGTTCATATTAAACCGGTACGCGGTGCTAAAAGCAGGTTTGGGAACCCTGATTAATTAAACTCAAGGATGACTGAATCCTGAAATTCAAAGTAAATCCTCTCCTGTTATCTGCCTCTTTAAATATCCTGAGCAGCCCTCTTGACAGCTCTACGGTGTTAGCCCAGCTATATTTTGAGCATTCTTCCTTTTCCCCCCTGCTGTCACCTGGGTGATCTGCTCCGAAGTGGGAGCCAGAGGGGAAAAAAGGGGGTGATTGAATTTCTTGTAATTAAAATGAGAAGTGGGCGGCTGAGACAACAGAGAATAATGGCAAACTGTCCCAGAGCCGTACGAACGAGGGGCGGCTGGCCTTTATGCTCAGTTTAGTTTTAACGTTCTCCTCTGTCGGGACGGCCATTGTGGTGCGACTCTCTGCACACAGATTCTGTTAGATAATGGGCTCCTTTTACGTCACGATGTGCACTTCCCTCAAAGGACTTCCTGAACAATGTTGCTGTTTTTTTGCACATGAAACTAGACTGCAAATATCGCTTCATGATACTTTGACTTTTATTTGTTAAATAGTGAGCACTGAATATTCTTGGATGCACCGCAATGATCTCTCCTTTCGTCAAGCTTCTTTGCAGTGAAACGGTCTGAAAAACCTGGTCACGTCATGGTTCTCATGGCCAAGAAAGTGTCTTTCTCAACAAGATTTCTAGATGGGGAAGTCAGTTTTTCTCTAACCCCCTACCCTCGATGAGAGTAACCTGGTTTCTGCCATGCCTGAGGTTTATGAAATCAGGTCACTGCAGAAAGCCGTAAGTGCATGTATGCTGATGGCGATCAGCTCAAGTCTATGATCACCAGTTGCACAAGCTAACCCACAGTTAGTTCTGTTTCTAGGTGTAAAGAAGAGGTGCTCAATGTCCACATGTTAATAGAAAGCCCTGTTTTCCTCTGTCAGTTCTGCACAGCAGCTTTGGAGCACAACGCACCAGCGGTTCGAGAGCTGGCGGTGCGCATCATCTTATCTGCGTACCAGCAGCACAGAGCTGCTGTCCTCCACTACCTGCCACCCAACGACGTTGCTGCACGAAAGAACTTCCTCCTCAAAACCCTCTTCGATGGCTTTGCCAAGATTGATGGGAAGCTGGTGGACACTCAGGCGAGACCTGTTTTTTTTTTTGCTTTTTTTCTTCACTGCAAATTAATCTGTCATCAACACTCCACACCTTCTTCACTTAAAGAAGGAATATAATACAACACACAACAAAATAACTGAACTCTCCTATTTCTATACGTCACATTTCAGATATTTGTATTAGCGTCTCTATATTGACGGTGTTCAAAACGAAATTTGCATCTTAACTTGTTCAAACAGATTGTAGTCAGCGAGGAGCAGCTGGTACATGGACAGTGAAACTGTCAGACATGGCAGATGGGAGCCCTCTCTTGAACGCTTTAGAGGGGACTACGTGACGTCATGTCTTTTTATTTATTCTAAGCTGACAGTAACAGAGTTTCATGTTGCACAGACAGCCAACTGCCTCCGCTGCTTCCTTTTCCAAAGCCAGCACAGGCAGTCTTGTCTTTCACTCACCTGGTTAAACAAACGATCCATGACAGAGCCATGTGTGAATATATATTTGGTGGTATAATCCAAATCCTTCATGTCATCACCAACTGGACTAAGATTGCACTGGCGACAAACCGGACTTCCCCATCTTTACTAAATGTGGTAAAGGATAGCTGTTATCTGAAACCGCAAACGCAGCCGGTAAACAAGTCAGCTTGAGTTACCGTAAAGTTTGTGACTCACACAGTGACCATGTTTCTCAATTTTCACTGGCATTGTTAGCGACCTAGCCCTCCCATTACGTAATGGCTCCAAGAGTCTGGACAGCTTTAAGCTGTTCAGTTTAAAAGATGGCGTGGTGAGCGAGAAAGGTCTGTGATCTAAACAGGAGAAAGAGGGACGAAAGGGAGCAACGCAGAGTCAAATGCAACTGAAAAACTAAATAAGAGTCACTTTTTCTCCCCAGATTTTGAATAAGGGAGGTGGTCAGCGGGATGGGCAAAAAGAGAAGGAGGAGATCCACTCTCTTCAGGAGCAGCTGGCCGCCTTGAAAGAGATCACAGTAGGTGGAGTTGTCATTAGACTGCGATTACATCACTTCTTGTAATGGCTACTAATTTGTATTTATGACTGGTAGAGTTTTGGCTCTCTAGGTGGTCAGAAACTCAGTTATTCACATGAACAGATACCAACACTGGTACATTATATATCTCCTTAAGAGTCTTATGAAGAGGAGGTCCACTATTGTTCCACAAGTTAATGTCTGTAGTCACTGTAGAGCTTTCCTTCCATTACAGCATCTCTGTTTGGAACTGTGCTCTCTGAAACCTATTCATATTCATATTTGTCTGCTTGTGAAGGAGAGAGGGAATGAAAGCACCAAAGAACAAATGCCCAAGAAAGAAGCCCCCAAACCTGAGTCCCAAACAGCTGGCAAAACAAGTACGTACACATGTTTGACTGGAAAGAAGCAGACAAAAGCCTCTCAGTTTAGGGGGGATATTGCTTTATGGCACAAAACAGCAACCTGGTGCTAATGTAGTCTTTTGAGTCATGTGGCGCTGATGCCTTCGAAGGTGACCTGTGATATGTGAGTGGACTATTCTGAAGGTATCTCTGAGGTCATGACTTGTGACATAAATGGGAGAGCCTACGGTAGTTAGACGCTCTTGTTTCAGCGCGGCATTGAGATGCAAAAAAAGAATAAATAAATAAATCAATGACCATTTCCAAAGAGGGACAGGGAGCCTCACAGTGTCTACTTTTGTTGTTAGTTGCCCAGCAACAATGCTCTCGAGAGTTTAACCACTTGAACACAAAGTATGGTGCTTGTCTTTGCATGTCAATAAACAAGAAACAAAAGCTCCATTTGAAGACAGTATAACAATAAGACATTACACCGATGCTGCCAGTCAATCCTACCATGAACCTATGGAAATACACTGCAGGCACAACACATCTGATTTTGGATTTGAAATATTTTTGATATGAGTTAAGTGTTGTGTGATGTTTGCAGTCATGACAAGTAACAGATGCTGTCTTCTTTATTTCCAGCTGTCACAAAAGTGCCGCAGAACAAGGTAACAGACAGTATTGACGTCCAACAATCTATCAACTATCTGGACAAGTAAGAGACTCAATTGAGACCTTTTTAAAAAGAAGTTACTGGAATAATAGAAAGAATGTATATAGCATATTAGCCTAGCCCTGATATCACAGGTTTAATGTTTTCTGTGCAGTTTTCACACGCTCTTATTCTTTTCCCCACCGTTCCAGCCTGTGTATATTCTGTAGTAAAAAGGACGAGTCATTCACAGAGGACGGATTGGACCTTCACTACTGGAAACACTGTCCTATGCTGAGACGCTGCGACGAATGCAGACAGGTAGGTTTTCAAAGGCGTCGGCATGTATGTAGTTCCCCCTGAAAGAAGGGGCATCTGCCTATAGCTGGTTAATCACCAGCTCAGTTACACAGCTTGAAGACTTTGCATAAAGCTCTGTGTTGTGTTCACAGGTAGTCGAGATAGCCAGCCTCACAGAGCACCTACTCGGCGAATGTGAAAGCAGGTCCAAGTTCAGCCAGTGTCCACGCTGCTCAGAGGCCGTGGCCACTGAAGAGCTGACTCGCCATGTCCAGGGCCCTGCCTGCAACCGTGAGTTCTCAGTCTCGCTCTATCAAGCCTTTGGAAACTTTCTGAAAATTCCGTATGTGTAGAAATTATTATAAATTATTATTTTTTTTATCTTTATTGGATGGTGACGGTTTAAAATCAATAGGAGATAAGAGTATGACATGGAACAAATGTCCCTAGCCAGAATTATGGACACTGCACACGGTAAAAGTCTTAACTGCTAGACTATCAGGACACTTTTAATGGGTAGTTTTCAATGTCACCAAAAATTGACATGTCATTTTGTATTTGTCACTGACCAATTACATAACCAAAACTATTGAATAAAACCAACAAGGACTATGAGGTTAAAGCGACGACTTGATTTGATGGTGTTTACATCCTTATACATTGTTCCCCAACTTTAAGGAACAGAATTTAAATAGCAGAGTGAGCATCATCTAAAATAAAGGCATCAGACACGTGGTGTCTTCCCTGGTGATGCTCTGTGAAGCCTGTACTGCAGCCAGCTGCACATCTTGCTTGTTTTGGGGGGGTAGGGGTGGGAGACACACCACATGCTCAGTTCGACTGAGGTCAGGTCATTGGCTAGGCCATTTCAAAAAGATTCCACTGTTTGGCCTAAAATCTATTTGATAACTGTGTCTGTTGAACCGTTAAAGAGCTAGGATCGTTGTCTTGCTGTATTGTCCTTATGTTGGGGGGGGATTGCATCTACCCGGTGTATTCTGGCTGCACCTTTCTCTTTGGGTCCATTTGTGGTCAGTGAGTGTTCTCTCCAGCCTTACCTTTGCATGCTTACGCTCCTTTGCTTGGCTAGACATAAGTAACACCACAATTCATACTGTGCTGATGATATTATTCATTGGATGAGTATAGGCAATGTGTCTTATGTACATCTGACAGTGTTTGTCCTCAAACCTCAAACCTCTCCTTCCTTCTCTCACAGAGCACACACCAAAAACAAACTTAATTTCCTCAATTAGATCAAGCATAACGTTTGATTCACCGATCTCAGGTGGATGAACATACTTCTGCTCATGTTTCTTTACTTCCTGGTCTTTACTTTGGTTCTGAACAGCCTGTTTTTCTTGAGCTGACCTTTGTTCTGCACCCAGAGCAGCTCAGATGTCTCATTTAATATATTTGGCTCAGTTTGTCGGATAGTCATCCTCCGACAGGTGGCCTACAGCACAAAGCTCTTTTAAAACATGAAAATTGTTCTCAATGTTCTCACTATGCTACACGGAGCCTTGAAGACATCAGAAGTCTGTACTTTTCCACAGTGTTGGTTTCAAGCAGCCCTGTTGCCAGTATTTACTATCTGAACGCTGAGGTCAGCTTTTGCTGTAGGAACGTCCTGTTCTTGTTGTTTTGTTCCAAAGTGTACTGTCAATGTAGCATCCGAACTGAAGACGGATACTTTTTGTATCAAGACTTGCACTACGTCTCTATTACCAGCCATATGTCTGCATAGATAATTGATACCAGTGAGCCTTTTGTGTTCCCATAATTTTCATTTTCTCTGGCATGTTCTCGGGACCTTTACTGTAATTGTATATTAGGTAGCTTAAAGGTGTCGTGTTTCTATTTCAGCCCCCATCTCGGGTAAAGGCTCCAACCACTGTCCTTTGTGTCACAACAACTTCATGCCCGGAGAGAAGGTGAGATTCTGTTTCTGTCTTTTCTTTTACCTTCATTTAACCAGGTTTGTCCCGTTGCGATCGAAGATCTCTCTCACATGGTACATGTGAGAGACCTGGTACAGAATACGAACAACACACACAATGAAAGTTACTGTGAGGAGCTGGTTATGAAGCAGTCTCAATTTAATGCTGATGCCTGTATATGACCTACATAAGTAAACGAGACAATCAGCGAGAAGACTGTCTATGTCTATGAAGTCATTCTTAATGCCAGTCATCGGTGCCACCGGGTCGGATTCCGCACAAAATCAGATGAAATCATGCAGGTTTTCCAGGAACTCCTTCAACTCAGACTCAGTGGGGCCTCTAGCAGCGAGCAGCCCGATGCGGACCTACCCAGATCTGGCTTCGCCGCCGCCTTCTGCCTGCCAGGAGCAGAGCAGAGCAGAGCTGCTCCACGCTGCTGGAGGCCCGGGCCGTATTGCTGGGCCCGCTGTAGGGAAGGGAGACACGGGAGAACCAGAACCAGGACTTAGCGAGGCAGACTGTCAAACCCCTGCTGCAGTAAAATGAGAGGTTTTCTAAAGGGATTCTGGCGCTCGGACACACTACCACTTTCGTCCACAGGGACTGCCAAAATCAACAAAAATGAAAGTTCCTCGTATGAACTTTAACATAAAAGCACGTAGATTTGAGTAACATTAAAATGGCCTCAATAGACTGCGCAATAGTTTTTAAACTTATTCAAGGTTACTATGCTCTGAAGTTTATGATCAGTCTGTACCAGTGATCATGTTTTGTGTGAAGAAATGGCTTAATTAAAATAAACTATAGCATGTGGCATCAGCATTAAAAAGATGTGAAGTGTGTCTTCAGTGAACTTTAACAAAAAAGTGAATTTTGCGGTATCATTTTCTTTTTACACGTCAAGCTTATTGTTTCCTTACAAAATAATAAACAACAACAACTTTGGTCTCTTGTAGAGCGCTGCTTCCTAGATTATAATGGGGCAACTCTTGGTACGATTAGGATTTTCACACAACTTGGGCCTGAACTTCACTCTGTGAGCGTTTCTATTTCCCATCTTTTATATCAACACAGAAACTCAAAAGGCTTCTAATGTGAGGCTTGAGGAGCAAACAGGTGTTAAGGTAAAACACTGCTAATGTTGGCCTTTTAAAGGCTTCAAAGCAGGCGGAGCCTTTGTTCATAATGGGCTGTTTCATTTGTCTCAGGATGAAATAGATACCATCACATTCTTCACATTCCTATTAGTTTGAGGAGAAGTAAAGACCCTGATTTAGCTGTGGAAATACATTTTTGATATTTATTTTTAATAGATAGTGCTTTCCTTAAATCTTTTTTGTGGTTTACGATAATTTATACTAATTATAAACACTGAAGAAAAGATGACTTGGACAAGTTCAAGTTTCCTTTGATTCCAGCAGTGCTGACAGTTTTCCTGCTGAGGCGGCTCCCTGCTGTGTAACGTTTCAACAATAACAGGAAAAGATTGCAGTTAAAGATGAACTGGAAATCTTATTTCGACACAAAACAGATAGAATGTATCAATGAGGAAACGTAATCAAACTGTTTAACGATAGTAGCATGAGCTCAATACCTTGAGTAGCGTCAGTGTTGAATACGCCATAATATACAGTTGTGTGACAGTGTTCCCCCTTCCTGATTTCTTATTTTTTTGCATGTTTGTCACACTTAAATGTTTCAGATCATCAAACAAATTTAAATATTAGACAAAGATAACACAAGTAAACACAAAATACAGTTTTTAAATGAAGGTTTTTATTATTAAGGGAGAAAAAAAATCCAAACCTACATGGCCCTGTGTGAAAAAGTGATTGCCCCCCCCCCTGTTAAAACATAAATTAACTGGTTTATCACATCTTTGGAAAGCTGAGTTCAATTTCTCTAGCCACACCCAGGGCTGATTATTGCCACACCTGTTCTCAATCAAGAAATCACTTAAATAGGACCTGCCTGACAAAGTGAGGTAGACCAAAAGATCCTGAAAAGCTAGACATCATGCTGCGATCCAAAGAAATTCAGGAACAAATGAGAAACAAAGTAATTGAGATCTATCAGTCTGGAAAAGGTTACAAAGCCTTTTCTAAAGCTTTGGGACTCCAGCGAACCACAGTGAGAGCCATTATCCACAAATGGCGAAAACATGGAACAGTGGTGAACCTTCCCAGGAGTGGCCGGCCAACCGAAATTACCCCAAGAGCGCAGCGACGACTCATCCAAGAGGTCACAAAAGACCCCAGAACAACATCCAAAGAACTGCAGGCCTCACTTGCCTCAATTAAGGTCAGTGTTCATGACTCCACCATAAGAAAGAGACTGGGCAAAAATGGCCTGCATGGCAGAGTTCCAAGACGAAAACCACTGCTGAGCAAAAAGAACATAAAGGCTCGTCTCAGTTTTGCCAGAAAACATCTTGATGATCCCCAAGACTTTTGGGAAAATACTCTGTGGACTGACGAGACAAAAGTTGAACTTTTTGGAAGGTGTATGTCCCATTACATCTGGCATAAAAGTAGCACGGCATTTCAGAAAAGGAACATCATACCAACAGTAAAATATGGTGGTGGTAGTGTGATGGTCTGGGGCTGTTTTGCTGCTTCAGGACCTGGAAGACTTGCTGTGGTAAATGGAATCATGAATTCTGCTGTCTACCAAAAAATCCTGAAGGAGAATGTCCGGCCATCTGTTCGTGACCTCAAGCTGAAGCGCACTTGGGTTCTGCAGCAGGACAATGATCCAAAACACACCAGCAAGTCCACCTCTGAATGGCTTAAGAAAAACAAAATGAAGACTTTTGAGTGGCCTAGTCAAAGTCCCGACCTGAATCCGATTGAGATGCTGTGGCATGACCTTAAAAAGGCGGTTCATGCTCGAAAACCCTCCAATGCGGCTGAATTACAACAATTCTGCAAAGATGAGTGGGCCAAAATTCCTCTACAGTGCTGTAAAAGACTCATTGCCAGTTATCGCAAACGCTTGATTGCAGTTGTTGCTGCTCAGGGTGGCCCAACCAGTTATTAGGTTTAGGGGGCAATCACTTTTTCACACAGGGCCATGTAGGTTTGGATTTTTTTTTCCCTTTAATAATAAAAACCTTCATTTAAAAACTGCATTTTGTGTCTACTTGTGTTATCTTTGTCTAATATTTAAATTTGTTTGATGATCTGAAACATTTAAGTGTGACAAACATGCAAAAAAATAAGAAATCAGGAAGGGGGCAAACACTTTTTCACACAACTGTAAGCACAGGAGAAATAGTTCGCTCTTATCTCTCACACGTAAACAGTGCTCATGTTTCAGCGCTCTTGGAGCTTCTCATCCCTCACTTATCCTTTGTGACCGTCCACAGGCTTTTGGTGAGAGAAGTTTCAAACGGATACACTAAAAGATGAAACAACAGTGTAGCCTTTCATTTGTCTTCCGTTACGTTTCTGTCATCGTGGCGTCTAATGAATCGTGCAAACTCGTCTTTCAAGGACCCACAAGAGCTCCGTGAGTCCGTCTGACCGTCACCTGTCCTGACCCGGCCTGTCCCAGGTGGCAGCAGCACTTTGGAAATGAAACTTCTGGACAAAATCTCGAAAACAAGAATCCAAACCGGTGGTTAAAACCCTCAGACTTCAGTTTGAATGTGGGGGTTCATGTTGGAGAAGATTGCTCCCATCAGTGTTGTTATAATCACCACCAATCTCTGATGGAAGATAGACATCTCCCTCAAATTATGCTACTTCTGTGGTGACCACCGGGAACCGGGGGAGGGGAGGATTTGGGTTTGATTCTGGAGACGTAGCCAGACAAACAGCCACCACAGCCAAGGTAGGCGGAAGGTTCTCAAATTACGCAACTTCCGACTCTGGGAGGTACGACGAAAAAAAATCCCAATAAAAGGCTTGTTCGGGACCCTGTAATTGGTGCACATTTGAGATTGTACGTCGTTTCTGCCTTGTAAATATTGCGCTGGCAGAATTTTAAAGTGTCGCTCCTGATTTGTGATTGGCCGATCCAATGTGCTAATGTTTGCTGTGGAAAAGGCCTGTTAGTACACCATGTTTCCAGTTTCCAGGACTTTACCGTTGAACCATTTTCATTCCCTGCAAACAACTTAAGTGTCCAAGTAGGATAAGACATGAGAGCTGTTGAGATGAAGCCCAAATGTACGTTGACTCAATGAAAGACTGCAGTGTTGGTGGGAGGGAGGGAGGGCGGCCATTCGGGCCTTGACTGGGCCTACAGTCACCCGTGGCCGTCCCGATCGAGAGAGTATCTGGGAGAGGAACGTTACTCACTGAGCTACTTTGTCCCTGTTGCAGGCCTGGAAGGCTCACCTCATGGGCAGGGAGGGCTGTAAACAAAACTCACGCAGGACTGCGGTGTCCCAGAGAACCCAGCCAGCACAAGGTAAAGCATTCATACACCTTCTGCTGACACCCGCCTCCCCAACGCTTCGTGTAAAAGCCATACAAAGTGCCCATGCTTGTTGGTAGAATTTCATGTTGTAACCGTTCCCTCATGGTTTCCTGTCCTCAGGGCACAGAATGAGGCCGTTTTAAAAAAAGGTGTCAGGATTCAATTTGGAGCCTGGTGTTCAAGCGTTCCAGTGTGAGTGACAGGAACCTAAAATCAAAGCAGCTGAATGTAATTCAGCCATCATTAACTTCATTATTTACACCTGTGCTTTTCCTACTGCGACAAGTCAAAATGCCTTCCGTTTCAAAATGCCGCCTCTCCCCCCCCCCCCTAATGATTCATGTTTTATTCCACGAAAGCGTATTAATTTTGTATGATTTTAGTGGTCTTTGTGTCAGGCTTTGTGGCCCGCCTCTGTTAATTCCTCTGTACATGCTTGAGTACATTTTGAATGTACTTGTAAAGTCTTTACTTTTTTTTTTAGTGGCATTGCTGCTTTTAATTAAGTAAAGGATCTGTGAACTTTTCCCTTCTGGCATTTTGATATTTTTCTTATTCCACTAGTTGGCTGACAGAACCCAATTAGTAGCTGACTGTGTATTGAAAGTCAACCTTGTGACGTGACCGCAGCATAGACTCAGTGACACTGAGTCATCAGAGAGAGATGTGGCTGATGCAGGCTGCTTTGTTTAGTAGTAAATAGTACACAAGAACAGGAAGGGTAGGGTTCTCTGTGTTAAAGTTCATACAAAGGTTTACTTTAAGGATGTCCTGTCTGTGTGTGTGTGTGTGTGTGTGTGTGTGTGTGTGTGTGTGTGTGTGT